GTCTTTCAGCTTGAATAATCTATTATCAAAATAGTTTCAAATAAATTTTCTGTTTATGGACTCAAGTGTGTTGTTGTCTCATGCTTCACTGCCGGATTAACTTGTGTTTATAAGTAAATTGTCAGCCTACTTTATGATTATAAAGTAGGGATTCGATTCCTCAGTGCAGCAGCGCAGGGGCTACTGTTTGCTTGGTCATCGAGTAAAGGTCAAATCACTATTTTGTGCTTGTTCAGTTCTCTGACAATAGAAACGTAAAAGTATGTAAATGGCAGCAACTAAATTGTGACTGTATTAAAACACGGTATAGGTGGTCACAGAGAGCAGGATGCTAGGGTTGGGCCGATAGACGATGCCATCATCCATCGGCGATGGCTGACAGATGGTCGATGGTTGAGCAGGTATAGTGATTATAAAACCCCGCCACTGGCAAAAAAAATCTAAATTTTTCACATAATACCTCCATGTGAAAACCTGCTTTCACATGGAGGTACATTATTATAAATGTTATCCGTTATCACGGCAGCAGGTGAACCGAAACCAACATCTGCACCGTGTGTTCACTGCTGCTTTACCTGGTCTGTGCTGTATCCTCCGTGACTTGTAACGTCATAGGCTACCAAGTTTTTAACCTAGTGAAGTCTGTGCGAGGGAACACATGCACATAAGACGACCGTTATGCCATTGTCCATCCCGATGTTTCAGTGTAGACATCGTTAGATGGAAATTTTGTAAACATCGCCCAACCCTACAGGATGGGTCCAGATACGTGTGGACATTGTCTTAAAGGAATACATTGACATTGTAGTAAATCTTGTCTTGTCAATATCACTTTAAAATCTGTCTGTGGTAAATATACAGTTAGGCTAATCCAGCAGCCGCTGATCTTATCTTAGCATGAAGACTGGAAACAGGCTGAACAGCTATACTGTCTCCGTCTAAAGGCTTCCGGGAGTCTCCGTTGTTGCCTGCCAACCTCATGGTGATAAGGAAGTCACTGCACCCGGTTAAGGCACTTTACCCTCTGGAAAACCACAAATTGTTGATTTTACGTTTTGGTTTGCTGTAAGACGGACTTAGTTACTTTTAGACATAGCCAGGCTAACTGTTTGTCCTTGTTTCCAGTCGTAAGTCTAAGCTAAGCTAACAAGGCAACTTGCAATAGCCTCGAATTTAATGCACAGACAGGAGAGTGATATCGCTCTTTTCTCCTTACTCTCAGCAAGAAAGCAAATATGCGTATTCTCCAGCATGTCAAACTATTCCTTAATGAAGACTTGCTTTGGATAATGTGTGTGTGCGAGTGTGCCTACTCCATTGCTCCTGTGCGTGAGTGTGTGACATGCCACACAGCATCATCGCTCTAATGAGGATCACACACACTGCTCTGTATCCCTCTAATCATCTCTCTATTTCAATTTCTTGCAAGTCAAAGCCACAGCTATGCATTTCTCTCCCTCTCTGTCTTTGTCTTGCTCACTTTTTCTCTCTATTGCAATTACAATTAAAATGATCTCACCGCCTCATCTCTCTCTCCCTGTCCATTTGTCATGCTCACATTCCCTGTCATATATTCATAGACTGTTGTGATTTGTTCACCCTCCCTCTCTTCTTTCTCCTCTTGCAGGTTAACCAGTTTATATTTCTTCATCTACATACATCTTCCAACGTGCTTCGGTGCTTTTCATTTGTTCCACTATTTGATCTGTATCTTTCTATTCGTCATCATCTGGTGGTTTGTTAATGTCAGCCAGTGAGAGGCGATTGTAGCACATTCTCAGTTTTCTGTAAAGGTTTCCAGAGGGAATCAACCCTACAACTCTTATCAGTGATCCTGCTTCACTGGCTAAGCTCACAGAATGGTTGCACGCCTATTGCAGGAGATTCTCATCTGTCTGTAATGAACGCTGGCAACATGATCCCCATCCTAATACAATTCTACGCTTTGCATTTTTATCAGATATTTTTAAAGCAGATACCAGTATCTGATATTGTCTCACACATATGCACCGATAAAGATGCTGTGTTGTATATTGTATTGTATATTCATCCTCTTTTCATCTTAATATTTTTGTGATCAACAGAGAAATTACTTTTTAATGTCAAGTTGAAAACAAATCTATAAGTTAAGTCTGTGTGGATTTTTATCAGTTTTATACAACTGGAACTGACATTTTCCCCCCATTCTCAGCAAATCTGCTCAACCTGGAGAGCATGGGTGAACAGCACATTTCAGGAAACCCATTTTGCCTCGGCCTTGTTATCTTGGTGAAAAATAATTCAGCGTTCTCTTGCAGACAGCAGCACGTTCCTCTCCAGGATTATTCTGCATTTTGCTGCATTCATTTTAGCTTCTATCTTCAAAGTGTTTCAAGGACTGCTGCAGAAATGCATCCCCTCTGCCATGACCAAGTATTTAGTAAGATGGTCAAAAAGCTTTTGTTCTCATCAGACCGTTGAAACTTCTTCCACTTTGTTTTAGAGTTGTTTGCTCAGCGTCTCCCATCTCAGCCATAAAACCTGTAGCTCTGTCAGAGTTTCTATAGGCCTCTTGATGGCCTCCCTCACTGCCCATGTTCACTCAGTGTTGTAGAAATATTATGAGCCAGGTGTCAGTTGTGATGAAGTTTTTCGGAAAAGTAATGAAGACTTACACAGCAATGTTTAATTTGACTTGGCAGAGGAGATGCAGTGCTGGCATACAACGTGCGAACACATGCAATGCCAACACCAAATCTGACGAAACCATCTTTTGGTCCCCAATTTATTTTTCTGTCTTTTCCCTCTAGTGTCTGTAGGTTTTTCCACACCAGGTCATTGCTATCTGGCCTAAACCAGAGCAGCCAGTCTGCCTGATGTTTGGACTCCAATGCATCACCTAAGTCACTTTGAAATCGAATAGTATCAATGATTTGCACTGTAATCTGTGGAGTTAGTAAATTCTGTAAACATATAAGATTCCCTGAGAACATAGATATCTGCTAGCCTGATGCCTGATCTACACTCTCTTATCAGTCCAGACAGGAAGAGAACAAGCGCCTTTCTAGTCTTTTCGACCATTCAAAGAGCTTTTACACTACATCACATTCACACACTGTGAGCCTAAGTGCTTAAACAGAAACTAACAGCCACCAGGGGTAATTCCATATCTTAATCTTGCCCAAGGACACTTCGACATGCAGCCTGGAAGAGCCGGGGATTGAACCGCTGACCTTCTGATAAACGGGCAACCCGCCCTAACTCCTGAGCCACAATCGCCCCATAAGCCAAACCTCATCTGATACCTGAACAAACCTGACTAATAAATTTCCCTCTCACCCCGTTATTGAGGATGGCTATTACTAACTATTGACCTTACTTTGCTCCCTATTCAGTGCCTTGACAATGCTCCAGAATCCTTCCACTGAGTGGTAGTTTTCAATAAAGCTGGCACAGATTTGCTTGGAATAGACAGACGATTGGAGTAGACATTTTGACATATCACAGTAGGGAAAAAAACAAATGTGAATAATAAAATGAATGGAGGCTGAATTCCATTTAGCTGCTTCAGTTTCAGGGTGCATGATGGGTCACTGATACATGGCTTTCTAGAACACTTGTTATGAGTAACAACTGTGCGGCTGTGCCTTTACCCCCCCTGACAAGTGAAAATGTCTGCTGTAAAAATAAAAAATAAAACGTCCTTTGTTTTGGTTATGTATAGTTTTAGCTAAAAAATTGACTAGCCAGCTATTGGACCCTGCAGATACAGGTGTATTTAATTTAAAATCACTTGTCACACCTTGATTACACACAGGCAATTCAACAAAATCCCTGCCTAAAGGTAATCTAGGTGTGTCATTGGTAAGGGGGTACATATTTATGCACTGTGCTTTATGTTTACTTAATTTAGACACATTTGTAGAGATTGTTCACTTTAACATCAGAGTGCTGATCAGCTTCAAAAAGCTTTGTCAAACCACTGTGATTTAGTGTTATAAAACAATAAAAACCTTTTATAGAGCCTGTAAAGGTTTCCCTGCATGGACCGGAATCTTACTGTAATGAAATGTTTTTTTAAAAATATAATTAATGCTGTATATTGGCCATATATTGGCAGTAAGAATTCACATCGGACCAGTACAAATGTTTTTTTTAAAGCTTGTATGACATAATTAAATTATAATAATGTAATGTTTGATATTTTTATATTTCTGTTCTATCTTTTATAAACCACAAGGACTCATAAAAACTGTTAAGAACTATTAGACTCAAGTATTATTATCTGATTTTATAAATGAGGCTGTGAAATAATTGAAGCAAGCTTTTAATTCAGCAGCAGAGCAACCAAGACTAGGTGGTACTAAATTAAAACATCACAATGTATTGCACTGCGGTGAAATAGGAAAACAGACTACCCTCCTCGAGCAGTAAAACTTTTTAAATCAATTTTATGATCATTGTGTTGCCAAAGTGTCAAACGCTGTCATCTAGCTCCTCTCGCATCATAATAATCCATAAAGACTAAGAATTTATTTTCTGGTAAGGGAAGTAGAGGTGGAGTGTGATATACCCGGGGCAAAGGCTACATAGTAACCATTAAGAGACCCTAAAACTAACTCTTTATAATGGTGTCATTGTAATATAGGGGAAGTTGGACTGACAATTTTATTTGCACGGACAGATTTTATTGATGAGAAATTGAACTGATCAATGTCATTTTAAGATTGTTTACTATTGCACTGATTTTGTATTGATGAGAGCTTGAGTGAATTTGTATCAAACCATTTAGGTCAAATTATCGTCATACCCTTTACGGGTAGAAATGGAGGGCCATGTTCTAAGGGCCAAGTGTATTGCAGTAACAGGGTACTGCTGTCAGTTTAAACAAAACCTGACTAATGCTTTTGGAATGGCAAAACTGGTCTAGCTCATCTCAGTCTTGTTTGTTCAGTGTATTTACTGTGTGTGTGTCATTGTGTTTTGGCTCTGATGGCTTTTGTGTATTTTTGTTTCAACAGCAGTCACCTGACACTATCCCCGGACCAAGCAGTGGACCTGCAGTACACAAGGTAAGGAAACGCACACAGGTGATGTCATCCCGGTTTTGCTATGAAGCGAAAATGTGTTTGTTTAGCCCCAATACAGATGACATCAGTGGTTATATTACCTTGGGCTTTTTCCAATTAAGTTTCACCAGCTACACACATGCACAAAGACACGCACACACACACTCAGAGAGAGCCTTAATTTGTCATGCATCACAATAATGTGGTTTGGCAAATATTAAAAGCACTGTACTCTGAAAAGGCCTTAGGACTGAAATATCTACCGTGAGTATAGGTTTCTTTAAACATTTAAAACAGAAGAAGAAGAAGAAGAAGTTTTATTTATATAGCGCCTTTCCAGAGCTCAAGGTCGCTTTACATGGTACATTTACAATACATTTACACACTAACACACAACTTAACACATAGGATACATATAGTCACATTTAAACAAAATACATCTTAAATAGATATGTTTTTAACTGTGTCTTGAATGTAGCCACAGATGAAATATTTCGAAGTGAAAGGGGCAGTGAATTCCATAATTTTGGAGCATTAACACTAAATGACCTTCCATCTACTGTAGACAACCGGAAACGAGGGATGGACAATAAACCAAGTTCAGTTGATCTGAGAGACTGTGCAGGGCGGTAGGTGATCAGACAAATATGGGGGTGCAAGACCATTTAATGCCTTAAATGTTAGAAGCAATACCTTAAAGTGGATACGTGATGCCAAAACATAGGCAAAAGAAATAAAAAGTTTTAAGAAATGAAAGAAATCACCATCTGTAGCTTGGTTGCTGCTTATTTATGTGCACTGCTGTTACCCCTGTGCCAAAAGTCTTTGTATGTACTCAGCACTGTTGTATTTTTTTATCGGTTGTATTTCACTACATTTTCTTTTATATCTTGCCTCAGTGGAAATGGCTATACCTGTAACATTGATGTGGTATCCAAAGCTGTATGACGCTGGTAAAAATAAAAATGGCCCATGAGCACCTAAGCAGGGAGGTGTTTTCCAAAAAAAGCTTTAATCTTGATCCTAGCTAAGCCTATTTGCTACGTCAGAGTGATTCTCTAAAACCCATTTCGGTAGATAAAAGTTAATGTGCCATTTGGCAAGGTTTTTAGAAAAGCTTGAAAATCTGAATCAAAACATGTGTCAGCAAAGGTAGGGTTGTAAATTGTAAAGAAAATTGTCATTGTTTATCAAAACTTGATCGAACATGATACTCTCAAGTCATTTTCTTGTATTGGCAACACCCATAACTGAAGAAAATGCCAATCTCAGCTCAGCAAACCACAGTGTGGGAAGTAAAATTTGAGGGCTGGCTGTATGAGAGTGTTTGAGCCCAGGTTCTTTGAAGGGCATTGGTGACACCACCTTGTTGCCACAATGATTATCAGTAATCCTGTTTTGAGGTCAGAAACCTCCTTTGAGACCAAGACACACAGTGTAAAATTCACGTACGTAGACTGCATTTTTCTGATTAGGACGGTAGCGAAGGTTACGATATGGTAACCCTTCTTCTATAAGCACAGGCGGAGCCCTCTACTGGACTCTATGGGTACTACCTCCTCCAATCACACGCACGCACTTGCCTACTGAAATTTTATCTTGCACGTAGCCGACCAATAGGACGTCGCTACCGATATGACGTATAAATAGCAGTGTCCCTACTGCCTCAGCATCCAACCACCTCTTCAGCAGACGGCGTCAGAGCAGCAGGGCTCATCGGTAGAGGGCTCCGCCTGTGCTTATAGAACTAAGGTTACCATATCGTAACCTTCGTTCTATCTCACACAGGCTCCGCCCTCTACTGGACTCTTTGGGTACAGTGGGTGGAGCCCGATGACTGTCTGCGCTAGCCGCGACAAGCCAAAGTGCACCACACCAACCCGGTCGGCCACAGGCCGGCCAAAGACCTGACCACCACTTCACCTAGTGACAGAGTGGTGGGACACCCCTGAGAAGGTCGCTGGACCAATAGGGGCTTCTCGCTGGAACGTCAGGCACTGCCAGTGTATGTTCACTTTTCAGATCCTAGGTCGCATTTGCGAGCTGGATCCCGAGAAGGAGCCCGACATATCCAAGAGATAGAAACGCACAAATGGGCACAGTAAGGGCCAAGATGCCATTGTGCAGATCTCTTCGACACACACCCCGCTGAAAAAGGGTCGTAGACACTTCCACACTTCTGAGTGGAATGTGTGCACACACTGCTAAGGGTGGGTCTGTTCCCGCCTGTATCCAAGCTTGGAAAATTCACTCACAAAGCCAGCTGGCCAGGCTCTTCTTGGACAGGGTTTTTACTGACTGCACTATCACTGAAACAGACGAACTGCACAACAGATGCACTCTCACCTCCCTGCACCCTAAGTGGGGTATGGGGGTAGAAAGCATCCAGATTTATTGTCCTGGACCTGAACATGCTCCTTATGTTCTTAAGAACAAAGGAGGTGTGTTGTCTCAATCTGGCTGCACTGTGGACACCAAGAATCAGCATGTAGCTGGGGTGAAACGACTCACCTTCTTAGCAGGGGTGAGAGCAAGGCGCAGGTCTGTTCAAGAGATAGCATTTTCAATGAGGACTGCTCCAGAGGCTCATAAGGTGCAGATATTAGAGCCACCAACACAAGCAGCAAGTCCTACTGAGGTGCTGAGAGACATGACACCGGTCGCTGTCTTCTCACACCCTGCGCATCATGAGGGAGTGGGTGAAGACTGTTCTGTCACCAAACCCCCTGTGACAGGAGAGATAGCTGCAGTGCCCTTTCTCCATCAGACCTTGCAGGAAAGAGAAAACGGATCCCACCGAACAGGTAGGCAGATCCGTCTCCCTCTCAATGCATCAACTCTGAAAGCACAACCACTTAGCTTACAGCAAGACGTGCTGGAGACTGCCCGCCGTTTGGATGGTCTGAACGACCTCAGCGGCTAGACCAGCCTGAGTCTGCCTCTCCAGCCTCGCTGGTCCAACACCTTCATTGTGCATATGAAGCTTCACCCTTGAGACAGAGCCCCCCAGACCATAGGTACAGGCCAGGGCTCTGTTGCTGTAGGCTGCGTCACTTCTAACAGAATGACGAACGACCATTCCCACCTCACCTAACTGGAGGGATGAGATGGGGTGGGGGGGGACACAAACAGCAGCCCTTCTGGCAATGGCGCGTGTGTAATGCGTCCATCCCCAAGGGTGGGCTGTCCTATGGCTGAATTGAGAACTACAGCGGACAGCGGGCAGTGGGTGTTGGCAAACAGAACCACCTTCGCTCTCCCGAACTGAGCTCAGATCTGCTGAACCACATTGTTGTGTAGTCTCCACCCGCTCGGTTGGGGGCCAACATGAGGTCAGCCACCGCCGTTCTCCAAGCCTGGAACGTGGAGGGCTTTCAAAGACAGCAGGTGTTCTGATGCCCACTTCTATAGTTTCCCTGCCAGCGCCAACAGAGCCGTGGATTGGACTTCGCCCTGTCTGTTGATGTACGCGCTGGAGGAAATGCACCACCACACTAGAAACCCAACCTGGAGTGGATTGTGGATGTGTGGTGTGTGGCCCCCTCGGCTCTCCTCGGGGAGCCACAACACTCGCTGCACTCCCCTGGCAGGTCCCTCCCTATCCAGTGAGAGACTCATCTATGAAGACTGACACGGATGAAGACACCCTGCCGAGCAGCACCCACGCTGCCAAACAGTGAGAGACCCCCAGATTCGCAGGTCCTCCTGCACTAGAGGTGAAAGGCGGGGATCACCATGCATCACCTTTGCCTCTTGAGGTCCAGATGCAGGCTGGCAAGCCAACATTGTAGCAGTTGCATGTGCAGCAAGCCCAGAGAGGGAGCACCTGATGGACTACTGCCCTGAGGCCCAACAGCAGCATCACTGACAGCGCTGCCGCAGCTGTCAACTGCTGCAACCTGTGGACCACCAAGCGAAGCACACAGATACGCTCTTGGAGTGTTGTAGTTGAGCACAATCCCCAGATACTCCGTTTGCTGCGGCGGCTGGGGGGGGCTCTCTCCCCAATTGATCACAACCTCAGGCTGTTGAGGTGCAAAATCAGCTGGGCTGTGTGGAGATCACTCAAGGCTTCAATCTCTCCATGACCATGAGGTCGTGAGTAGAAAGGAACCCTCATGCCCTTCTCGCACAACGATTGCAGTGCGATGCATCTGCTGAGTGTGTGGGGGGGCTAGCGAGTAGTTGACGGGGAGCCTAATGTATTTGTAGGCTACCCCCTGAGAGGAGAAGCCTAGAAATTTACTGTTACTGTGTCACCTCGACATGAAACAGGCATCTTTCAGGTCGATGGCGGTGAACCAGTTGCCGGGCTGCACTGGCTCCAGCATTTCCCTGACCATCAGCATGTGGAAATGCCCTCTTGTCGATTATGCTGGTTCAGATGGCCGAGATCCAGAATGGCTCAGAAGCCTCTCGTCTTTTTGGGGACCAAAAGTACATGGTGCAAGACCTCTGTCCATGTCATGCGCAGAGATGCCCTAAGACAGCCTGCTTCAGCAGAAGTTGCTGGATCTCGGCGGCCAGGAAGTCCACTTCCTCTTGAGAGGATAGACTGGCTTCCATAATGTCCAGGAAAACTGGTGGTATGCAGCAGAACTGAAGAGAGTAGCCTCGTCTCAGAATGCTGTCCACCTAGCTTGTCAGCATGCAGCGGCGTCGCCATTCTGCATGAAAATGTGTACAAGTGAACAATGCATCTTTGGCACTCTCCACCGCTAAACTGGAAGTTTAGCCCAAGGGGGGGTGGGGTTGCGCCCTGGTGCCTTTGAACGCACCACAGCTCGCTGCTCCAATGATGGCTCAACGTGCAACACTGTCACCGTGAGCGCGTCGTCAGTGGAGCAGTCAATATCAACACAGCTGCCGAGTGAAGCTGTGTCAGGACTAGGCATCCTCCTCTCCACTGCTGGGAGAATGAGCCGCTGTTCACTGTGATAAAGTGCCACAGGCCGCACCGCTGGAAGAGACGTGTTGTCTGGTTGTGTCTCTCTGGCTATATCTGACCTAGATTGGCGTTATCTCGACTCGCCGTTGCAGCTAGTCAGCTAAACGCTGTGCTGGTTCGGTTGAGCATATGTCGCCAATGTGGTTGTGTGTTTTAGGAATGCACACATACACTGTCAGTGAGCTAGCAGTGTTCCCGTGGATACTGTCGTGAGTGCATGGGGAACGCAGAGTTAGCTCGCATTGCTGCATTGTGTCAGCGCCATGGCAGCAGCCCTTCATTCGGCTGCCAGACGATGTAGGCGACCCGTTGCGCGGGCCGAACAGCCGGCTAGCAAGGAGGAAGCCCAGGTCCTACTACTGTCTCACTCGCATACCACCAGGAGAGCGACGTGGGACATGGGCTTTTATCCCAGTGGTTTGAATAGTGCATCAAAGACCCGGGCCCTCCCACCGTCTCTCTCTGTTCTCTCCTCCCTCTGTTATGTATCCACACATAACAGAGGGAGGAGGTCTGGTGGTGTGCATCAGCTTCTGTCCCTCTGTCACCCTTCTTTTTATTTTATTTTATTTTTTAAATAAATAATAAAGCTTAGACTTTTTCCAAGGGCTGCAATCGAAAAAGGCCGTGGCGTCCTTGAACGCACCATGGGCCGTTTTTCGAAAGGTTGAACGCACCACAGCCGGTGTGACTGTGGTTGACACGTCACCCGGTGTTGACATCAGCCTCAAGCTCACAGCTTCCCTGTGAAGAAGTGGCAGGTAGACAGCCTCGCCTGTTGCAACAGGCGCTACGAGCCGCTGGTGGAGGAAACGAAACCAACCGAAGCAGCGAGCGATCTCTTTCATCCCGCTATTCCGAGAGAGACCTGACTTTGGCTGTCTCTCTCCGGCTATAGCGGACTTACCTAGCTGCGCTGTGTCTTCTCGGCGAAAGAGATGTCGGCAGGGCAGCGTGTCTGTTTACGTAACAGGCTTTCACTGCCGGTGAGCTAGCAACGCGGCTGTGCAAGTCCTCGTGGGCACTCTGGGAATGCAGCGCTACAGTAGACTGCTCCATTGCCAAGTTTCCACGGTAAGAACAGCTCGTTTCTCGGCTATTACGTCGTGGAAGCGGACCATTATGGCCGCGTGGACTCGGCGGTCATGCTAGCTATGTGGACGCCCGGGCCTCACCCACCCTCTCACTCGGTTCTGACCGGGAGAGCGCCGTGGGCCACAGGGCGAACCGTTAGCTTAGCGTCGGTGAGCGCAGCGGTGCGTTCAACACGGCTAGCTCAATGAGATGGGGTTGGTGGTGGGGAATTAGCACTTCTAAGAATGTAATGTGTTTCTAATAAACAGTTTAACATTCACAGGCATCACCACAGTGTACACACAAGCAGCACATGTTAGAACAGTGGCTTCGTGAACACAAGGCCGCAGGGTGAACCCTTAGCCTCACCCCTGGAGTTAACGTTAGCTCTTTGATGAGAGAAGATAACTTGGCTCTTTGAGGAATGTATTTAACATGTTTTACTCAAACATTCTTTCTTTCCACATTCTCAAAAGCCTTACCATAGTTTTACACAAGCAGCACATGTAAAACAATGGCATCTTGAACACCAGATGGGGGATTGTGGCAGAGACAGCAGGCCTCTCTCCCTCCATAACGGTCACTTGGCCAGTCGCTCCCTTCCCCAGCCGCAGGTCAGCTGGCGGGGGGGCCTGGACTCATCCGGGCAGGACATGGGTCACCTTGCCCGGGTGCAAAGATAATTTTCTAGAAGTGGCGACTCCATCCGTGGAGGTGGTGAATTCAGTGAGCAGTTCGCCGTTTGCTGAAGAAAAAAGGATGCTGAGGCAGTAGGGACACTGCTATTTATACGTCACGCACGTATCGGTAGCGACATCCTATTGGTCGGCTATGTGCACGATAAAATTTCAGTGGGCAAGTGCGTGCGTGTGATTGGAGGATGTAGTACCCATAGAGTCCAGTAGAGGGCGGAGCCTGTGTGAGATAGAGCTAATGGCACCTTAACGTAACCTTAAATTTACCCTGTTGAGTTTTCCTTTAAAATAAACACAGTTATGTTTACATTCAAATTGTCACCAATGTGTGTATCCTTGAGGGCTAATGAACATGTTAGCTGTGTCTCAATTCAGGTGCCCGCATCCTCCGAAAGACGCGTTCTACGATGGTGTGCCGAGCATTGTTAAATGAGACAGTCTGGTCTACGTTGGACTTCTCAATTGCGTCACCAGCTGTCACCCTTAGCTCATGAAGCACACTCCTGTTGCCTAGCAACCTTGACAGCTGCACTTGTCAATCGGTACCCAGCTGGCTTAGAAATGGATTCAGACATGTTAATTGTTATCTTTTTTTTCTTTTGCCAGTTTTGTAGAGGAAATGGAGATGCTCCACCATTCAAATTATTAATACAAAATGTAAATCAACTAATAATTTCTGATGTATTGGAGAGAGAGAGAGAGAGATTAATACTTTGTACTTTTACTCAAATAAGATTTTAAATTCAGGTTTTTTGCTTGTAACAGAGTATTTTTACACTGTTATTGCAATTTTTACTCTAGTAAAAGATTAAATATTGGTATATACTTTTAGTCAACTGTAATGTTAACATTAGCATTTCATATTTAATACAACCCTATTAAAAATGCTTTTGTCTTTAATCAGCTAAAACCGATTGAGTAGATAGATGGACAGTGGAGAGAGGCATCCCTAGACACACTCTGGAGACCACCCCAGATAATGTCCCACTGACAGAAGACCACCAGGTTTCCAACCAGGTCCAGCAGCACCGCCAGTGACTCTCTGCTCAGCTAAACAAAACAAACCCCACACATTTTCTAATAGCTAATATTCATGTAATTTATTTTCCTTTTGAAGGACCTGCAGACACCTTAAATATTCCACTCCTTATGTTGCAAATAGTTTTAAAGACCTGTAAATTTAATAAACAATATATTTAACAATTGCTTTATTTGAATTGATTCAACTAATCTCTCAAGTAGTGAGAAGAGCCTATCCATCTTCCGTTTCAAGTGTCAATCGGGAATAGCGTAAAACAATCTGCAAGAATGCATATTATGTCAGTCGTGCTTTTTTATATGCGTCTTTTTGTTTGTGCACGAGATTCAACAACAACAAAACAGGGACCTACTTTAAGAAGCATCACTCCATAGCGCTACTAGTGGTCAAGAATCATAGGGTACCTTTAACGTTGCAATACATCAGACCATTTATCTAACACATCATCCTACTTTGAAAGGTGTATTTACTGTAATGGAAGTACAGTCATTTTCAAAATCTGCTCCTATTTAGATTTTAGATTCAGATTTTATCAATGATTTTGAGGTTGAATTGACACTAGAGGAAATATATAACATAATATGAATGGAGCCTCATCAGTCATCAAGCGGGCTGTCCTCTGTAGCATGTAAATATGAATATGAATGGAACAGAACAAGCATTCCATGTAAACAGCTTAATTGAAATACGGTCTGATTTACCATAGTGTCAATAGCAGGATTATGGCAGAGCGTGTTTATTCCTCAGGGGGAAAGAAATCGAGCTGTCCTTGTGAGCTGGTCAATGACAGCTGCTTGTAGCCACACAAGCTCTTGGCACTCTTGTTCATGTCCAAAACAATGTTGAGAGAAAGTTTTTGTAATTTGTAGTGTTCAGATTTTACAAAAAAAAGCATTTATTTTGATATGGTCCTGTGTATGTGTGTTTCAGTCTTGTTCCCAGAGTTTTCCATGTGCTGGTCGGACTGTGAGGAATGCCTTCCTCTCTCATGGACCATATCCAGCCAAAGACAAGATACACCTGGCCAGAATCATACGGTACACTTGTCTCTGTGTTTGTGTGTCTGTCTGACGTGTCTGAATCGATGTGTCCGGTGAAGCATATACAATGACTCACCAGTCCAGTATTCAGCCACTTCCTGATTGGCCAGTCAAGTTGTTTAAGCTGTAAGACAGGCAATGATGGTCGGGAATACATGCGCACTCATGCATTATTCTGTACAAACAGTGCACACAGGTGCATGCAAAATCTTGTGGACGTCTGGACACAATTATGAATAGATAACCGGCATTTCACATTAAAACGCAAACAAGAGTTTATCCTGGGGGAAAGTAGACGGAAACTGTTCAGTGTTTCAGAGGAAAAGACTTACAGAGAACTAATGAATAATCAATGGATATTGATTAAATAAAATAGACAAGCTTTGTTGTTGCAAGAGGTGTGTGTGTGTGTGTGCATGAGCATGTGTATCATAACAATGTGTGGCTGTACTTGTGTGCTGAAAATGTGTGTGTGTGTATTTTAACAGGCGTAGCTACGTGGGCGTGGAGCTGGTGCAGTGGCTGTGTGAGCAGTGTGTGTATGTACGCTGTCGGACTACTGCTGTGCGTGTCTGGCAGGTGCTGCTGGAGCTGGGAGTCCTGCTGTCTGGTAAAAACACAACCACACACATGCGTGCGCACAGTAACATGTCCGGAGGTCGTACTGTACTTTGAAATACATAGCAACCTTCCAGCGACATCAGCAACAATCTTCACATCTGTAAAGAGACAAACTATGAACCAGTTCACCAGGTTATTTCCAGCAGACTAGAGAGATGAATTCACTGCTTCATTCACCTGCTCCACTTTCCACAAACTAAAATTACCCTGTGGCTCTGTGCAATCAGTCCCCCCACTAAAAATCCAAAACATCCTCTTTCATTATTTACCAAAGAGCACAACTTATATTTTACTACACACTAAATCTTCTGATAAACTGTGCATCTGTTATCACCACACCTACAGTCCCTGAATGTGATTTCTGTATTCAGTAGAGCTGCTAAAGAAAATTTAGAAATTATATTATTCTTTTACCCTGTCTTGTGTTGAAACCAGACTTATTGTACTTCCTCCTCTTGAGGCTGCCTGCTTTTGGACATTTGCTTAAGTCCGGTTCATCTGCTATGATAAATCCACCATAACTGAGTTTGAATGAGTTAATCCAGGATTTATTGTTGTCACCATGTCTCTACTCTTTCTCTAGAATTAAACAGTTTGTGCTAAACACCACTAATGTATATTTTACACAATTTATTTTTATGAATTGTTTATTACATCAAACTGGCAATTTCTTTCAGGCTGCCATTGTAGTGCACCAATATAAATATAAGTAATGCACGAAGCAATGCCCGCCCTGTTTCAGATCTTCAGGAACTGGTTTTTACCCACGTTCCAAATACATTTGACTCTATTTTAATAGTTGTTTTAAATTGAGTGTAATCAGCATGGCTTAACAATTCCATGATTTCATTTTTATGTAAAACATCAAATTGAAGGATTTCCTTAATAGTCCTAGTCATTTAATCATATTAAATGACTTATTCTAACTCAAACTAAGCAGCAGGGCTGTAACATGAAGAAATTTAACTGCAGTAGCCTAAACATAATGTCCATATTGGCAAAGCAGAAAGGAATACTGAGGCCACTTATGCAAACTAAAAATGCCACCTGCTCAAGTTCAAATACCATCAATATATTGCAATATTGACACTGTGCATTTTTTAATAGTACCTGGTTGAATATGGTGGCATTGCTGATACCTGTAAATTACTGACTTCACAAGTTAAATAGCTTGTTCAATATTAATGTGAACGATGCTTCCTCTCACATGCATTTGTGTGTCTATTCTTCCTTCAGTAGACCAGCGGGTGGTGTTTTCGGACTCCAACTCCTATTACCAGTTCAGCTTTGAGGAGTGTGACTCCCCCTCCTGTGAGTTTCGCTCCAATGAGGGGGAATGGCCAGAGGCAGTTAGGCTTCTCCTACAACTTGCCCCATATGTCCAGTTTCGCTCTGGTGGAGGGGCCAACAGCCCGTAAGTGTCCATTAAAATCTGACTACAAGTTACGCTGTGCTAGTTGGATGGTTAAATGTCATAGTTAACAAATGAGAATTAACACATTAGTTGGAATCAACCCCCCCCCCCCGGTAACGGGTTCAGTTGTGTAAGTTGATAGATGATAGATTTTTGTTAGTCCTTTTGGAAATTCATAGTGTGTCATACAGCAAACATCAGACCAACAACATCAGCAGACCAACAACCGGACAACTGCTTTACAAACACAAACATCACCCGAGTGCTATACAAGTTATACTAAGGTGCAGCTCCCCGACACCCAGTTAACTCATGACTGTGATATTACAACCCAAACTCACGGCCCAACCAGGAGAACAACAAATACATGTGTGTATATTTTCAGCTGAGGATTGCGGCTTACTTTGGCTAGCCTTCAACTCAACAATCAATCATGATTTCAGTTAAATGCTAAAGTTGCTGTTAATGTTGCCTTGTCCGCTGGCATAACACCGGGTGCTTTCTGCTCAGGAGCCGTCGTGCTGTTGCGGTAACGTTAGCCGACAGGTTTCATTTTACAGTGGACGGACTGTAACATTAGAGTTGTTTTCTTTTAGCTTGAAATAATCCCATACTTTGGAGACTAAATTCTTCTTTTCTCTTCTCTCTCTTCTTCCATCTTCCACTTTGCAAACAGCGCCATCATAATCACGTCGTGTTCACACAGCATAAGCGCGATGTGCGACAGTAATAAATGTCCATGCAAAACAGTGTGCTATGTAGTTATATGGATGAAACAAAGCCTCGGTGCAAAGAATTTGCGTCAATGCTTTTTAGTAATCAAATTAATCGATTTTAATTGATGAATCATTTCAGCCCTAATTAATTATTCATATTTATCGGTTATAATGACTAATTAGTGGTTTCCAATGTTGTCACTGGGTTTCTGTTATTACGGCCAACATGTTAAACTGCTGCAGAATTTTGACAGTGAATATGACTCAGTTGCAATGTTATACATGATCTCCGTTGACCTGAAGTGGAAGCTCATTGCTCTGGTGAAATATCAAAGTCAAAGTGACAGTGTTTCCGGTTAGATTTATGATTGAGGTCATTTGTCTGTCTGATGATTTAACTTGAAAAGTGACAAGTGACTGTGTTTGATTTGGTGGAAGTGCATGCTTGCAAGTACTTGACTGTTTTGCAACATAATATATACTCTAATATACATACACACACTCTCCAAGATCCCAGCTAGAAAACTAATCTCTATTCACTGTTTAAAATGCTCAATCTGCTTATGTGAAGGACACGTTTATGTGCAGGCGCACGCACCCCTCGAACATAGAAGATACTCATATGCAAAACCTGTCACATAATGCCATCGCACATATACGAGATGGGCTCTGAGAAAGAGACACACACACACGCTGAGTGGTGTCAGCCAGAGTTCCCTGCTTTGCTGCTCCTGTGTGTGGGATTCCTGCTGAGGCTGCTACTGAACTCAATCTGTCACTCAGAGAAAGGGAAGAGAGTGAGACGAGTGGAGTGGGTAACAAAAAAGATAAAGTGTGTATATATGGAGACCGAAGGAACAAGAGCACACGTCAACACATGCGTCTGTGTGTCAACTTCAAAGGGTGTATTTCCAGACACCAGGGAGAGAGCCCAACAGCGAGGGGAATTGAATGTCATACTTATACTAATATAAATCTCATGTATCATACTGTATACCTCCATGTTGTCCATCAGTTACTTTATATACATTATAGTGAATGACATGCATACTTAGAGGCACTCTACTACAGAGAGAAGTTGGGATTTCATTTGAGGGCTTTTTTCACAAGGCTGGTTTTATCTACTTGTGTCTACAGCAAGCTGAAAACAGACAACATTTTACATGACAAAGCATTTATTTATCATGTTATGTTTTTCATGTATTCTTACACATATGAAGGAACGTAAATAAATGTCTGTTATCTAACTGTTTGTACAGTTATAGTTTATACGCGTAACACTGTATTGGACCAAATATTTTACAGGTTTTTGCTTGAATCAACATAAAAAAATATGTTTCACTTTAGCAGATTAGACATAGATGAGATTATGCATTCAACTTTCTCACGCTGTCTGTCACTTTGACCCTGCTGCTGTGTCTCTTTGACTGTCGCATCATTTTTCTGCAGTCTTCCCCTCTCTCTCTCTGTCTCTCTCTATCTCATACCCTCCCTACCTCCCTCCCTCTTTGTCTCTCTCTATCTCTCTCTCTATCTCTCTCTCTCCCTTTGGTGTAAAGAAGAACAGCTGTAGCTGTGAGGAAAAACACCTGATGTAACTCCACTGGTTGCTTCCAAGAGACTTTATGAAGCGTTGGTTTATATATTAATCCAGTGGTTAATGTTGATTCTCGTTGTTGAAATTGTAAAAAGGAGCTAGAAATAGTCTCACAGCCTTAGCCTTTAAATAAAATCCTGGCTGTGTACACCGTCTGAGAGTGTCTGAACATGCCCAAGCGTGCAAACGTGTGTTAAACTATCTGTTAAAGCCCTGCTCAGCAATGCTCATGGCTGCATCAGGGTGATTGGATCTGCACTATACTTGAGATCGAATTACGTAGGACGATTAAATGCAGTAATTCAAATCTAATCTAACGAGGCAAGCATTAAATTGATACTGATAACTTGATACTTGATAAGACAACATTAGCTGACTGTTATGCCTCCTTCTAGTGATTTCTACTTAAGTGAAGCCCAAGAACAACAGGCTACTAATTAAATTGGTTGTAGAAGATGTTTCTTAGTTTGTTTCTTATTCAGTTTGTGCCGACGCTGCCAGTGTGTCTCAAAGGATTGCTGTGTCTGAACAATAATATTTACTACCAGGCACATTGTGGTCATTAAAGTTGATTAGTTTATTGTTCACTGCAGTGCTCGCTGGAAAAGAATATTATAATGCAGGTTTCAAACTTCAGATTCATGCATCATAACACCTTAACCATTTACTATTGTTATTTTAACAGAGTCAAATATTAATGTTATGCAAAAAACATCTCTCTCATTTGAATTCATTTCAGTTTCAATTTAATGATCTTATTGGCAGAAAAGTTACTTTGTCTCATTCTCTCTCTCCAACTTTGCCTCACATTACAATAAGGGCAAGTACTTTTTAGTAGTGCTGTGTAAGGAGACAACATTAAAGTTTAACCATGAAACGATTTTCTGCACACTGCCTCTGCAGCAGAAGTCACTACATTTGTTAATTTAATGTTCAGTCCATGCCAAGTTTAGCTTTGTCTGAGTGTAAACTGATCATGAAGAAGTTAATGTTTATACATAACACCACCCTATCTAGCACACTAAACTGTATTCCCCTATTTTCAGTTTTTTTACTGTATATCAATTGGATACAACTTCCATATAGACACAAAACACAAGGTAGGGACATCGTAACATGAACACCTGCACAGTATAATGTTGTCCAATACAATAGCCCTGCAACTAACACGTTAAAGGCTTTGTGGGTTAGATATGTTCAGATTATGTTTAGAATATTTAATATTTTGTTACCCTGTATACAAATAATACCTTAAACTAACTACAGCAGCAGCTTGAATTACAGTGTCAGCTTCACAAATACACATTTTCTGGCAGGGATATTTCTGTATATTTCATTATACGATATTTGGTCCACTGTCTGTGTAACCTAAGTTGACATGATTTAAATAATTATTAATTATTAATTATTATTATAAAGGAGGAAAAATCTCAAAATACAACAATTTAGTGTGCAAATGTATTTACTCCTCAAGGACTCTCTCTTTGTTCTGATATTAAACTGTACATTATATACAGTGCACTGACTATATACATGTTTGGCATCAGTCAGTAACAATTGAGTTGCACATTTTCCTGCCTTGCAAATACAATGTTCTCTGCAAATCAGTGTGCAGAAAGTGCTGAATTGCCAGGAGCTAAAATATAACACCTTAGCTTGGAAGGAGAAAACACTTTGCATGGTGCTGTGGTCCAAAAAGGGCAAAATGCCAAATGGACTCAGCAGAATGCTGAAGGACCATTTTGGCCAGGGAGGAGCGCAATCAAACAATCACTGTTTTTTACAGAGATTACATTCTCCTCCTCCTCAAATCATTCTGGCAAATGCTTTAAATTCTGTGTTAGGCAGTATTCAGAACCACACATGCATATATGTATTAGATAGACTGAAGTATGTAGTTATATTTCTTTCTTAAGGAAAATAGTTTGACACATTGTTCACAGGTAGAATTAGTAAGCTTATAAATAGGATCTGATCTGGTGAGTCACAAATCATGACTACACCTTGCTGCATGCATTTATGACCTGGTAAAAACGGAGGCGTTGTAAGCACCAATCATGGTAATCCTCAATCTATACTGCTCTGTGCTGCTTAATGATTGGTGACACAACTCCCACTGTGCCTTGCTTCCGGCTCTGGTATGTTCAGGCTCATGGTGAGTCACCAAATTACCAAATGAATGCCAGCTGAAAAAACTTAATGACCCCAAAGAGAATAAATCTAGCATGATGACTTATACTTTGTACATCTCATGATCCACTAATGAACTACAAAAGAAAACGCTCCCCAGCATTGCCTTGTTCATCCAGCTTTGGCAGAAGTTTGAGCGTCAGTTATCTTATTTTAAAGGAGAGTGTAATTTTGACCATAAATACTGAAAAGAAAGCACAACCACCAAAACGTTTTTTTTGCGACACTAACAAAATGGTATTTTCACACTCCTTTAAGGCATGTGTTAGTTCTACCTGCCTCCGTCTCTCTCTGTCTGTGTCAGAGCTGATAGCTGAAGTGTCAGGCTCAGGGCTACATGTTATCACCATCTCTTCCGCCTCTGCATCTATCATTCCCTTATCAGATTACAGTGTACACACACACACACACACACACACACACACACACACACACACACACACACACACACAGTCACACACACACACACACACACACACACACACACACACACACACACAGTCACACACACAGTCACACACAGTCACACACAGTCACTCACACACAGTCACACACACAGTCACACACACAGTCACACACACACAGTCACACAGGGCTTCATCTTCTTTCCTTCACAACTATTACTAGTGCCACTGGGATTTGTTGATAAAATCCAAATTGTATGCAAATTGGTGTGTGTCTGTGCGCGCGCGTGTGCTTGAGGAAAAAAGTGTGTGTGTGTGTGTGTGTGTGTCCTATGTGGGGGTGAGGCAGTGTGTGGGAGACCAATCCAAACAGTGTTTTTTTAAGAGAACATATTAGATGAGGGGCCCTCGGGTGCAGTCTGCCGCTGTTGAAGACAAACTCTATAACCTTGTATTATTGCTGTGGGAATAATATGGAGTCAGATCATTCTCAATATTAATGAATGCACACTGAAGAATTCACATTTACAGTATATTTAAGGATTAATATATAACTGACACTCTAGGCATGGGCCAGTATGATATTTTCACAGTATGTTAACCTTAAGCAAAAATGTCACGGTTTCACGGTATCGTGTTATTGCAATTACAGCCTTAAAATGTGTGATTTTTAAATGTCTGGGAAAAACAAACTTGTTTCCATTGAACACAATATATTTTATACTACTGCTGCTAATAATAATATCAAATAACGCTATAAATCAAATCACACACAGACACACACACACACACACAGACACACACACACAGTGGGAAAGACACCAGAGCCAGCTGATGATGTATTTTTTTTTTAATGTTACAATTTTTAACAAATGTACACAATGGTGGAAGACATAAACAGTTGTATAAATGTGACAACACATTATAAAACAGAAACGGAATAACGGAAATATTTGTGTTTTTGAAACCTTGACTTTTTCATATTGTGGGAAACACTGAACCCGGTAACCCGATTAAATATGTTTGTGTTATGAATGCTTGCTAAGTTAGTTAGCTAGCTAGCTATGGATGGCCCTAAGTTGTCTATCTGCATTATATGGCTAACTTGTTAGCTAATGCTAGTGTGAAATGCCACATCACGAGCTTAGCAAGCAATTAAAACTCAAAAATACTGGATTTAATCACGCATGACAGAAGAGTTATCACTTACCTGTGAAGAGCAGCTACCAGACCCCATGTAAGGTTGACCTGCGGGTAGAACGCTAAGTGATCACATTACCCTCAAATCTACTGTTACATAATTGGCTGAAGTGGAAGGAGCCATATCAAATTGGCTGCAGATAATTCGCTAGAGGGGGAAAAAAACGCATTTGTGAATCGAGCTACGGCAGGGGAATTACAAAAACCCACGCACAAATGTTGTGAAGTTCACAACTGACAAGCAGTTTGTAAATGCAGGTTCAACAGTTGGGATATAAATGTAACAACATCTAAATATGTTTTTGATGAATATTGCAGATACTTTCAAATACATATATTTGTTATTACTATTACAGATATTTAAAACAAAAAATATTTGTGTGCAAACACATTTGTGCACCATATTTATTTGTGGAGTTGTTTTACATTTATATACAACAATAAATACTTTTATGTGAGCCATTGTTATATAAATCCTGAAATACAATTGTGAATCCTTCTGTGTACGTTCATTAATAATGAGACTGAAATGCAGTTTTACACCAAAACAACCACCTGTTGCAGCAACACACACAAATGTATCATAACTGTACTCAACAAGCGTTACACACGTCTATATACATTCTGAACACAGAGATGCCACATCAGCGCGCGCACACAGACACACACCGGCACAAAGACCCTCACTAACATCAATAGAAGGGTGTGTTTGGGAGCTATTTTAAATGAAACCACATGAAAGAGTGAAGGCGGGCGCAGAGAGAGAGATGCTTGATACAAAAACATGCGAGCAGTGAAGAACTAGAAAGACAGAAAATAAAATGGGTAGATACGTCTCTGCCAAATAGACAATATTCACACAGAAAATAAACTCGTCAGGATCGCGAGGTAATGTACAGTAAGTTGGAGCAAAACAGAAATGTTGGAACCAGCAGACTTGATAAATGATGTAAGCAGTTAATTCAAGTATGATTTAATTGACTGATCGTTTCACCTCTAATTATGTAACATTATTTTGTAACATGTTTTAGTGCTGGATTGAAGAACAATGGTCTGATTTCCTGTTTGTGTGGTCTCTGAGAAACCATTTGGGAACCATTGAAAAGCCACTATCTATCAATATCTTTTTGTTTTGATCTGATGTTAAGGTGTCTTAATACAAAGAGCTAAAATAGATAAGTGGAATATGTCCACTTAAATCAATTTAAATATAGACTTATAAATCAATTAAATATAGACTTGTTGAAAAACTATTAAGGTCTACAGCCAGCTGAGTAGTAGATATGTTTGGAAGCTGTAGTTCCACTCTAGGTGTACCAGGGGGCAGCGTAGAGGGGACAAAAGCTCTGCAGGAAACTTTTTTTGAGCAGAGTAATACACTTTGCAGTCAAAAGTACAGCTTTGTTGTGTGTGTGTGTGTGTGTGTGTGTGTGTGTGTGTGTGTGTGTGTTTTGTGTCTCTCTAAGGTCAGAGGAGGACTCTGAAGGCAACAGGGACATCTGCAGTGAGATTCTCCAGATGAAAGCTCTTGAGAGGCTCACTTCTACGGTCAGTGTGTGCATGTGAAGATTGTTAAATACATTATCACCAAATGATATAAACAAAATTCCTAATTTGCTGCTTCATTACGTTGTGTTTTAATTTATCATATATAGGTTTCATATTTTGCCTTGTTTTGACACCTTTTTTTCTCCAACAGGTACAAAGTGAGTTGGCGGCTGCTCTCGCCCGAAAGACTCGCAAAGCTTGTAAGTATGCATTTAGTTTTGAGTGTGTACATTTTCCCAAGAAGTTCTCCTGGTGTTTCCAACTGCATTATGAGAACATGAAGAAGATTTTACGTAACAAATATGAAGAACTGTCATTAATAACTTGATTCCCTTTGTGGTTGGTTGCAGTATCAGAGCAGGACTCTGAGACGACAGAGACGAGCCAACAGGAGCCTCGCACACCCAGCGAGGAGACTAGCCCGGTAATACACATACAGAAAGACATACCTTACACACGCAAATTAAATGACATGCCAATTGGGTCCAATATTTAAATTTCATTTTACTTTTGGCCTTCAATAAAATTTGTTAATCCAGTCCAATTTGCCATAGAAATATTCCTTATATCTCCAAATTGAGAAAATACAACTTGCATTAAATAGTTTTGTACATCAGTAGAGAGAGTATTGCTAGTCTGGATTTGTTAAGGCAGGAAGGTTTGGACAACCTCTCTTCATACGCAGCATAAACAAAAAAAGCTAAACTATTTTAATCAGCAGCATCGTTTTAGATGCGTGGTATGCTTATTAAATGTTGCTGAAATAAAATTGAAGTGGCTGTTATTTCAACCTGAGCTGGCAAACACACGTTGTCATTGCGAATTGTGAATTATTTAATGAAGCTGGATGCTATTTATTTGTTCATGCTGCTCCACAGTTTGCTTACTTGTTGCACCAGTGTGTGTTTGGAAGAAGTTTCTTTAGAAGTTGCTTTAATAGGGCACAAAGTAAAGCTTTGTTTTTGGACTATACATAGAAAATGGGGTCAGAACTAGGGCTGCACAATATCGTTTCAGCATCGTCATTGCAATGTGCCCCTGCGCAATAGTCACATCACAAAACAATTCAATGTCGAGCGTGTCAAATTAACTGTTTAAAATATGTTTATTGCACTGAAGCTCAAGAAAGGATTGTAAGCACCCATTGTAATGCATTTTCCCTACAAAATCACCCCAATAATTCCAGGTTGCTTATTTCTTTTCAAACCGAGAAAGTGAAGTCATCTGGTAAAAATTCGTGTATTTTTTCATATTGCGATATACATCGCAGAAATTAAAAATTTTGCAATGTCAGTTTTTTCCAATATTGTGCAGCCTTAGTTAGAACAGAATGAAGTGGGAGGCCTGTTTGCATTCTGGTCCCATCTCTTTACAGTGGAAGCCTCTTTTTCTCCATCAATTATTCATTCTTTGATTACACCAGAGAGGAGGAGAACAGGAAAAAATGCAATCATACATACAGTACTACGTTATGTGCACAATTGTTATTCTGATCGAATCATTATTTCTCTGCACATTTTCCAACTCCAAACCACATCAACATGAACATCTATCAAGGTTTGCAGAATTATGAGGCAGCTTCATTACCTCAGGTAAAACGGACCGAAACTTGTCCACTGCACAATCAAACGTTTTGTTGCTAATAGCCAACTGGGGTGCAAAAAAGGCCATGGAGAAAAGAAAGAAAAGGTGCGTGAAGCTACCAGGGACCCATTATCCTCCAGTGCCAACATACTCCAGGACTGCAACCTACCTGGTATGTCCAGAAGTACAAGGTGCCAAGTGCTCAAAGACGTGGTCAAGGTCAGGAAGGCTGAAACACAACCCCCACTGAATAAGATTAACAAAGTTGAAGCGTCAAGATTCAGCAAAGAAATACCTGCAAACAGATTTTTAGGTTTTATGGACAGATGAAGTGAGAGTGACACTTGATGCACCAGATGGATGGGCCTGTTACTGGATCACTGATGGACACAGGGTACAACTTCGACTGAGGCACCAGCAAGGTGGTGAAGGGGTACTGGTATGGGCTGCTATCATTAGGGATGAGATAGTTGGACCTTTTTGAAGATGGACTGAAACTCAGCTCCCAAACCTACTGCCAGTTTCTGGAAGATACTTTCTTCAAGCATTTCACCTGGCTTGTGACCCTGTAATACCAAAAAATGACTCCCTCATCACGGGTTGCTTATGTCTATGACTTCTAGAGTGCAAACAGGAGTAATTTTCCTCTCTCATATATTAGTTGATTCTAGTATTTGGATCATTATGGAGGTATGAAGTGGTCTCTTTGTCAGCCACATATCAAGTTTTACAGTTGTTCTGCTGACAACAAGTATATTGAAAACACGTTTGTAGCTCATTAAGATGTGGTAGCAGATGCTTTGTGGCTGTACCTGCATATGACAATGATGATCACTCCGAGCTACAAATACATATACTAGTTGTGCTGTAAATGCAAGGGCGTAGAATTTGGTAGGGACAGTAGGGACATGTGCCTACCAATATCCACCAACTACTGAATTGTTGAAGCTCCTAAACTACTGAAGCAATAATTTAGATCGTAAACAGTCAACAGCTCTTGTTCACTGCTACGTCCAATGTGTTATTATGTTTAAAAAGATTATGTCCTTCCCCCCTCATATACCTCACAGTGGTTTGGTCCACTACAGATTGTAGTGTAACATGAGTACTAGTTCATTTGACATAATTAAAGGGGACCGATAAACCACACACTGTTACAAAATGTCAAGGAAGACACAAGAAAGTCGTAGAGTTGTGGTCCTCAATGTACAGAGTAGACCATTTTTATATGGTTTTAAAAAAAACAAAGTAAATATTTTGCTAATTCATCTCCACAGTAGCTTATCTGGACTGTAGTCCATTTATGCTACTGTAAGGTTTAGCTGTCATAGATGTCAAAAACAAGTGATCAAAGAAAAATAAAAGATACAATGGGAGAGAGAAGGAGACAGCCACACAATACAAATACAAACAGCCAGACAGATTTATCTTGGTATGTTCTGTGTCTAGGACAAGAAGATGAAAACCAGTTAACAGGAAGCACCAAGGAACAGGGGGCCGTGGCTCTGATATAATGTCTGTACATGGCTATTCTACTAGATAAGAGTTATCGTTGGGGGAGTTTTCCCAGTAAACAAAATGAAGCGTGGAAGTATGTCATGTCCTGTGTGTGCGCGTGTGCGCGCGTCTCTGCTAGAGCATGGCACCGTGAGATAGTTGAGCTCACAGGAAGGGTTTACCAACTCTGAGCCAAATGAAATGCCCCTCTCACCCTCTTCCAAGGAAAATAAACAGACCAGGCTGCTGGTGATAACCATCCTACTAGCAGCACCCTAAGGAGCACATACGTCATGTTTTCTGTCTTCTGGTCTACCCGAGAACAAATCGAGTCTCCGGGATCTTGCTGCTCTTGTAATTGAATATCTTCTCTATATATCTATAAAGAATTTTTGTGTTTATTTTTCTGCCTTTCTCAGTCTTTCTTTCTTTCTCTTTTTAAGACATCACTGTTAGATATATATATTTATACACTTTCTCTGTCCGTCTACTTCACTTGGGCTACCAGGATGGTTAAGACAAGTCCCAACTATAGAGGGGAGGAGACAGACAGACACCACACACACACACCCAGCACACACTATTCCCACACAGACGCACACTCCCGCCCACCTACAGTATACTACTAATCACACTCACTCACTCTTTCTCCACTAGATCCACTGACACAGAGCAGTCAGAAGGAGACAAAGAGGGAAGTGCAACAGATAAAGTGAATTACAGACTGTAATAGATAAAAAGAATAAGGGACAGACAGAACCAGGATTACCATTTCATCTCATTCTCCTCACATGGACATAAAGAGGAAACTTGTCATTGCATGTTCCAGGATTGCATCTAAACTACTTTCATTCTCTCTTGGACCAAAACACTGAACTTTCCTGACCTCCATCCCAGAACCACTTTTTGACATTTTCCACCATGTCTTGGGACTGCGGGTTGAGATATGTGTTCATGCCTCCTGTGTTGCAGCTGGGCGGGGTATGTGCACTGCGGGGTGACAGCGGAGGCAGCGTTGGAGGAATGGGGACATGCGGCCGTGAGGATCTGACCAGCCGCCTGGGGCTGGAGGCCGTTCAGCGGCTGGCCAAGGACGGCTGTCGGCTGCTACAGAACCACAACTACCGGCTGCCCGACAGAAACCAGGCGGTGAGTGCGGAGTGTGATAATGGCACTTACATTTTGAAATGTCATTAATGTCATACAGTTATCTTCAATGCTGATAGGCCTGATGATGTTGTCCTGCAACCTCGCTGGTCAATCGCCATGTAATCTGCAGAGAGAGCTGTGGTTATATGGTTAGTATGAGTAGAGAGTAATGGACGTCATCATGTGGTAAATGTTGTCATTAGTGTCGTCTTTTAAGCACACACACAGACACACACACACTCTTCAGGTGTGAGTTACTCATGGATTCAGGTGAGGGAACTTGTGAGTAATTCCTCATCAGGACCGTACTGATTTGTGTTGATGTCAATCTAAAACGCAGACGCAAAGTGCCTATTCATTTTCACATGAGGACACATCTCTGCCCCAACAAGAACCCACACACACACATGCAAACTGAAGTTATCATTAGAGATGCATAGAGCTTTGCTTCATTCAGATCACCTCAGATTAAACAACCACCAGTTCTCTATCTCGTCTAATGTGGGTGTTAATGATGGCTTAGTGCAATGTGATCTCCTTTTACAGTCTGTCAAGTAGTGTGTGTGTGTGTGTGTGTGTGTGTGTGTGTGTGTTTTCTGGCTAGAGCAGATAATCATTTGTGGGAGGGAGTGTGTGTGTGTGTGTTCTTCATGCACTGCTGGTGCTGTGGCAGGCTGAGTCAGTGAGTGTGTGTATAATGAGTGGGGTGTTAGTGAAGCGTTGTACTGTATAATCCGGCTCTACAGTACACCTGAGGGCAGGAAACGAAGCAAATGCAGTCTGATTTAACTGCACTTCGTGATATGTTTGTGAAACCTACAGTGTCTTCAGAGTCTGACCGAAGACCAGCATGGAGGATTTTCCAAAGTGCATATGATTTCACTTTCACTCCTTATATACAAAAGTCAAAACATATAACTGCATTACTGCTGTATGAAACTGCAGAATCATATTTATGTAGTGTTTTTGAAGCATGAATTCAGAGAGAGAACTAGATTTGTCTGTACACAATCCATACCTACATGAACCTTTTACTTAAATATCAAAGTATCATTTAAAGTCTGCTCACTGAAGTTAGATGGGTATAAACTTTATCAGGATAAGACTGTTCCTTTAAAGTATGAATATTTGTTTTTAATTTAAGGTTTCTCTCTAAACCTCATGATAATCAGTGAACCTACATTTTATTCACTGCTGAATCATTATGGTTTGTGAGTAAATGTCTGTGTTGTCTTGTGTTGTTTAGTTTTCCATTTTAAAATGCAGTTGTACCACCAGCAGATTATCTGCAGATTTTGTTTCTTTCTGATCCATGTAACTTTAGATACTAGTCCAGATAATTAAGTTTCCGACATACATGTTGCTGAATTACAGGAGAATGTCCATGAAATGATGCACAAGAAATTGTGTTGACTTTTGTTTGACTATAGACACAATATAGTTTCAAAGAACAAGCAGATAAATATTATAATATGCCATAGACTGAGGAAATATTTTCTTCGACTTCAAATCGACTTAAGAGAGATTTGAGGGAAACATCTGGAATAATGTTGAAGAATTAATGATCCTTCGGCACACACATGCCCATTCTGTTGCTTGGTAAACACAGTGTGCTATTTTTCAGGTCAGACAAAATAGAAACTAATGTCAAGCTTATCATGCAGGACTTATAGCATATTTGCAGATATCAATACAATGAACATTATGGAATAATATCACCACTGCGTCACTGCTGTGGAAGCAGTGAAATCCTTAAATGACATAGAGGAGGGAGCGGAGGAGAATCATTGGCAGATGTGTATCAAAGACGCACATCAGAAAATTGCTCCATTCTCCTTTATATTATTTATTTAGACCATATGGATACAAATAGTATCCATCCATGTTAGATTGTCTTATATTTTAAAAATCATCAGCCATTTTGGTACCAGTTGTTACATTAAAGTGTAAAATAAACCAAATGATTTATGTAGGTTTAGGGACTAAATAAGGATCTCTTAGTCTTCTCAAAGCAGATAGGAAGCACATATTGATATATAATTATTTCTAAGAGTGCATAGAGATGAATGTTTTTCAGTAATGCACCACAAATATATAGAGAATATGTGTAAATGCTTTGATTATCATTTTTAGCCAGCTCATTGTCCAGCTCAGACTGCAAAACGTGGTAGAAACCAAAACCAAGCAAACCGCTCAATTCATTACAAAGACACTCTCCTTTTACTGGGTTGTCATGGTGATGTATATATTTTTTTTTTATTTCCTTTTTTTCTGTGACAGACGAGCTCTGACAAACTGGTGTGGGCTGTTTCCATAGTGATTTAAATCATGTGTCAGTACAGCATGTTGGGTGCATCTCTGCCTTCTAGTTTTAGATTCAGCCATCAGAGTCTACTAGAGGTCAACCTGCACATGGGATTACTCAAGGCCACAGCATGCATGACACACATGCAGGCTTTTTTGGCAGGTTGTGTTACTCTCTAATAGTTGTGTAACACTATGTGTTTGCGCATGTATGTGTGCTTCTGACCTAGAAGCATTGTGTTTTCATTTTCTTATCCATTATTTTCAGGAATCAGGCCTGGAGCTATCACAACACAGATATGGCTTGGTCACTATCAGCACAGACAACATACACACACACATACACACAGGAACAGGAAGGGAACAAAGAGTACTTCCTTTAGGCTCTCCATAAGGCCCACCTTTCCTATATCCAATTTGTCATATTGTGTGTGTGAGAGAGAGAGAGAGAGAGAGAGAGAGAGAGAGAGGAGACGAGCTTTTGTCACAGAAGTCCTGATTTCATAACAGGCCAAAGATGTTTTTCGTGCATGTGTGTATGCAGTTTATGACTCCATTGGTGCAGCAAGTACAATGGCCTCTGGTCTTTATTTTCTCTTACCAAATCTCAAACCTCTAGAGCAGAAAGTGTGACCATTCAAAGACAGAGAGAGACTTGACTTGAGTGCAATAAAGGAGAGGAAACATAAAAACTGCAGAGGGGAGACTGTGGAGGAAAGGGTGGAGATTAGGTGGAAGTACAGATGGTTGAATTCAAGGAAGGGATGGGAAGAAATGGAAGGAAAGAGACTGACACACCTACTAGCTGAGAACAAGTGTCCATCCTGAGAGTTGACTTCACAGACACAGTTATGGAGGTTTGTATATACCTTTTTGTGACTGTTCCAGTTTTGTCATAAAGCAGTTTGGAATTGGAAAATTTTGTCTTTTAAAGGTTCTGTCCATCATAACTGCCCAGAAATGTCCTAGGCAACAACTGACTGCCTTTGATCAGTGTTCAACGATTACAGGGTATATTACATAACTGTCAATTTCATTTTATTTGTTTTGTCTGTGAAACCAAAGTCTGACATTACCATTGTTGGCTGTGACTAAAGAAACTAATCAATCAAATAATCAATTCTTTCAGGATTTGATTGATCAAGATGTATTGGAAATGTCCCTTTTACATTTAAGAACATCCACTTCATCATTCTGTCTCTTTCTCTCAGTGCTTCTTGTATTTCTCACTTTTCCTCACACTCCTCCATGTCTCTCACTTTCCGCCTTGGTCTCTTGTCTTTCATCTTGCTTTCTTTTCTTTCTGTTCTCTACTTCTGTTTCTGTATTACATAACTTTCTGACCCCTCCTCTCCACAGAGTTCAAGTGCGTACTTTGTATATTTCCCCTCTTCATGGCTTGCATTCTTTCTCAGGCTAAATTAATGTTGTTTTTGTAAGCAGCTGTTTGCAAACCTTACAGATTATTTGTGTGCGTGAGTGAGTGGATGTGTGTGCATGCAAAGTTACATATGCATAGTGGGAATGTTGTAAGTTTAGCTTCTGTTTTGGTGCATTTTCTGGGAGCTTTTTGATCTTCTGTGTGTGTGTGTGTGTGTGTGTGTGTGTGTGTGTGTGTGTGTGTGTAGCCATGCTCTGTTCTTGGCTCCGAGTTGTTTTTCTTGGCGTCTGTTTAAAGAGTGTGAGTGTGTTATCGGAAAGATCAACAGCTACTGCTTCAGGAACATAGCACAACATTTTCTTCTCCTTTTTGTTTTTATAGTACTTACTTTAGAATTGGTTACATAATCTCTTTCTCTCTCTTTTTCACAGTATTTCTGGGGGCACTTTTCCTTTATTAAATGGCTATTTGCAAGAGAGACGGGAAAGGTCAGAAGAAATTAAGTGGGAGACTTGTGATAGAGCACCCCTGGTTCATATTTGAACCCTGAATGATGTGCTCTAATGGCATGTCCCCTTTAGACCACTTACCCACCAAACATCATCACATGTGCACTGCTGGGTGCGGTCTGGGTGCCAGGCCAAATTGTAATTAATGGCCTGCAGTGTCAGATCTCTTTACATCAGCCGTCACTACCTTATTTATCAGCCGTATGCATCTCTGTGTTGCTAAACCTTGAGAACATTTAATTTCAGCATGTTGCGAAATGAAATGGCAATGATTCTTTGAAAGTACACATTGTCCGCAGGTGGGTTCACTTTCAAGAGCTGGTAGTGTTTTGTGTGCTTTAACCCATGACATGTATATTACAGTGAAAATCAAGAAGGGTTTGTATACCTCAGTGTCTGGGTATTTCATTTGTGTGCAACATGGAAACCTGTCTTACTGGACTCCAGACAGATCCAGAAGAGACAACGGCTTAGTAGTAATACAGTGTTATTCTACATTGAAATGATAGAGTGCTGTTAAATACTGGTGTCATTAGATTGGATAGGAGGACTAAGCAATAAATTTTGAAGATATTTAAAAAATGAAGCTCCATTTCATCTTAGCGAAGAGTCCCAAACAAGACATTGTGCTGTGTTGAACACCTCCAGTTTTGTTTTTTTAAGTGCTCAGCCATGATACAAGTGCCGCTACTGGGTGTGTAACCAGAGTCTCTGCAGTGGTGGGCAAGAGTTTTTATCTTTTTTTTTTAACCTGTAAACTACCTCTACAATGAATCATTATAAGGTGTCGAAAAAAATTTAAATGTTCTGTGGTGGAGTTGCAAGTAACATCATTATTATCATTTAACGGTAATGTTGACATGGACAGTTATCATGGAACTTAAAGCTTGACTTGTGAAGTCAGTTTTTATTTGTAAAACCACAAATCACAAATTTGCCTAAAAGGGATGTTCAACTTGTGCAGCACAGGGCGCACCCTCTATCCCTCAAGAAACCTTCAGAAAGTAAAATTTTATAAAGTACTTCAGTACTTTATTTTATTTAACTATATTTCAAAAACTGTAGATTTAAGTTGTTAAATAAGAGTGAATTAGTTTTTAGGAGAGAAAGTGACACACACAAACCAACACACCTGTAGGATATGAGTCATCAGGGCGCACACACACACAATCACACAAAGCACTTTGGGCATATTGTTTTGTCTGACCCAAGTCAGACCCGACCTGCTGTTTCTCAGGATCAGACAACTTCTTTCATCAGGCCATTGCAGAGACGTGTATGTGTTTGGGGGGGGTATTTGTTACAGAGGTATTTGTGACTGTATAAGTAGACTTTAGGCTCCAGGATGTCTAACATGAAATCAAGGTTCTAAATGGTATCACATTTATTGATTACTGTGCTGTGGCTCTTTGTATGAACCTCAGGACCACAGACCTTTTTTCAAGCTTCAGCTGATGTTTTTTCAATAAAACAAAAGCTATCATCCATGTGGTATGATGTAATTGTGGCATATAAATGTGGATAGACAACTAAATACAAGTATGTGCAGTGTATAAATGCGTGTGCCCTGCATAGAGAGCTCTCTGTGACAGTTGTGATTGCTGCTCGATCCCTATGACTGCGACAGAAAGTGCAGTGAGCAGCTGGAGGAGAGACATTGCCTCTTTATCTCTACTCCTACTCCTGTCCTCTGCCTTTGATCTCCCTCTCCTCTCCTCAGGCTGTTTCTTTTTGTGCTCTTTTGTCCATCTGGAACTCTGTTCCTGTTTCACTGCCACTGCAGGTGTGCGTGTGTGCTGGAGTCACAGATCAAGTTGCTGTTCCTTTTTAGGAGCAGGAGATCATTTCAAGTGTCAGCCTCCATTCCTAGATGTCCCCATTGTTATTTATTACACAATGCTATTTCTTCTGAAGGCAGGAATTGCATTCCTCTGAAATGGTTGCAACATATAATCTGTGTCTGCATGTGTGGATTGGTGAGCGTATGTGTGTGTGTGCTGCATTTTGCTTTTAACCTTTTAATCTTAAGTGAAAGGGTCTGATACTGGATTTTTGTTGTCGATAAAATTATCAATATATGAGATTTATTCAAATATCTGAGAACGATGATATTCACTTTTAAACATTAGCACGTTACATAAGACATTTTTCGTTGTAATCTCTTAAACTTGGTCAATAAAAATAAATAAATTTGTGACCAAGATTTTAGGTGGATGTAAATGACACTTGTCAATGCTGTCGAGTGGACAAAGAAATTCTACTGTAAATTACCTCAAACATATCTTTGGCATTTCTGTGCTGTAATTTCTTACTTGTCGGACGCCTGATATGTCAGTCAGCCTTTACAGGTTACACCGGTATTTTGTTCTCTTCCTTGGTATGTAAAGCTTATATGAGGGCTGACTGGGTTTTCAGTTACAGTAGGCCTACACACAATGAGTATACAAATAATGTAGACAGATGCATCAGATTAATTCTATTGCCGGTTGAGGCTGAAAGTGTCTGTGTGTTCTCCAGTGTCTTCACTTCTTTAAATTGCCTTCTGACAGTTTTGTCCTTGCCTCACTCTGTGACACATTGTCCCTCTGTTTTCTCTCTCTCCTTTTCTCTCTCAGGAGGCGTTGGGGAGGGTTTGTCTGAAGGAGAGAGGACGGGACGTGTTGGTGTTGCGGAGAGTGACATCATCAGTGACGTCACCATCGGACCGGCCCTCACCCACATCGTCAGGGGGCGGGTCCAGAGAGGAGGACTGTGACAAGAGGTCAGTCCCTCCTCCTACATAATAAGAGCCCTCCAAACCGACAGTGGCAACAAAAAGCTTAATCATAGTACTCCTCCCTCTCGTTTTCAGTTTTCTACTTTGCCATCTCAGGTTACAACAAAACACACTCTTGCACGTACATGCAAAATATCAGTAGTGCTGGTAACACAGTGTGTATGTGACTCTGTGTTTGATTGTCAAAGATAATGTATGCTTTAGCTTCTGGCGCAAATGGAGAGAATAGAATGGCCTTTGTTTCCAGCTGAAAGAGCAACAAAGATGACACCAAAACTGGTTTACTTCCTTCTACATGTCAGCGTATGCTGTTACAATCATATCCTATATTCTTAAAGTCGGTTTCTATGTTATTGTGTGTATTTAAGCCAGTCTGAGCCAAGACCTAAGGCACAATGCAGGGAGTGTCAGTGACAGGCAGGTTAAGTGGGTGTGTGTGATTGTGTGTGTATACAGCGCTCAGGATCTTCAGTAGCAATCAGTTCCCTCTGAATGCTACTTAAGGAGCTGTCAGAGAGAGGATTTTAATCTCTGAAGCTTAGCTAACAGGAGCAGATGGCAAGGCAACCCAAAGGAGAGCACCCTTCCAGGGTATGCAAAGCTTAGATGAGGGCTGAACCTCCGCAAGTGTTTAGATATGAGGATGACCACCGAGCTAGCTACGCTGGCCGAGGCGGAGGAGGACATAGATGATGAAGATGATGAGGTGGACAGTGATGAGGACAGCAGTCATGAAGAACATGGTAGAAGATCAGAAATCTGTGCATTTGATGTTCCCCATTTTCGCTTCATCGATGACGATGATGTGGAGGAGAATAAGGATGTAGAGAGGGAGGAAGGATGGAGGGATGGACGTGGTCATACTTGTTGCTCGTTCTCTAGTGAGGAAGACTGTTGCGACTCTTACAGGTATGTGGTGGTGTCGGGGACGCCTCTCAAGATCTTGGAGCATCTGCTAAGTGATCTGCGGTTGGACGACCAAAGAGGGGCACCAGAGAGCAGGGAGAGCGGTAAGTTTGTCGACACATACGCACACACACACATCTGAGAGAGGGCATTCATACGCACAATGTGGCTGTATCTCCTTACACTGATAGAAATGTATAGATAGAAAGACTCAGAGTGAAAAAAGTTAGTGGAAAATTTGTCATATAAATAAATCAATTGAAATGTTTGTTTCTGCTGTTTGACCAAAGATATGTTTAAAACTCCCCACCCTCTGATTCCAAGGAATTTTACCTTCAGTGCCACACAACAAGTTACAACACAGCCCAACCTGGACCTTCCTCTGTCATTTTCCCCCAAGTTAGGGAGGCATGTGGGGGAGGTATGCACTCCCCCTCAATTATACTCTGTGGCTACATGAGTCAGTCAGCCCTCACACCACATCCAGGTGCGTGCGTGTATTCATTCAGCTAGCTTTACAGACATTTCCTGTAAATATAGAGGCACATTCAAGATGTTAAATGCTCTGTTGGGTTTGTGAAACAATTCCCTCAGGGAGCTGTAGGCATTTCTGCTGCAAACAAGTTCAGTGGTTTGTTACCCGTCATATTTCATTTTCTCAATCCTCAAGTCTGCAGTACAATATCGGGCGGCTCTTTGAGAGTGCAGCAGTTACAGTACTACTGTTTTACCTCAGGTCTTGTTTTGTTATTTGTTTATTGCTCCGCAGTGAGCACAAAGACCACATTAAAAATAGGGCTGTACCTAATGATTTTCATTTAGATTTATTTGGACTACTTTTGCACATAATCAGTGTATTGTTTGATAAATAAAATTTTAGAAAGTAATAAAAAAAAAAAGTGAACAATTGGCACCGTGAGGCAACCTGTGTTGCATGTCTCTCTCCCTAATTTGCAAATTTGAGAAGCCGGAACCAGAGAATATTTGGCATTTTTACTATTTATCAAGCTTAAATATCTCTTGACTGACTAATCCATAAATCAAAGTGCATGTGGATGTGAGCTGACTTAGGTTGTAATGGTGACTACAATATGTGCCCCCATTTATCTTAAAATATTGTTAGATAAGATCATCTTCCCTGCATAGATAAATAGACAGAAGCCTGTTAGTAAAAATATGAACACATTTCTTGTCATAGTCAGTTTTAATTCAGTACCACCGTGCCCACGTCCAGTAAAATAATACTTTCAACCACACAGGGATATCTGGGTCCCAACCTGTATTTTATAAAACCTGCTTTTTGTGCCGTTTTAAGACAAGGCGTCTTTATCTATCAACTCCTCAGCACCACCAGTTCCCAGCGGTCCACAGGGAGCCATCTCACTGAATTGCAGGAAGCAAACGAAGAAAGAGGGATGAATGTAGGAGAGAGAGTGAGAGAGAGAGAGAACTAAGATGGTCTTTGTGGAAGAAGGCTGCCTGATATTTATTCACTCAAAAGAGAAAAGTCAACCTTTTTTCTCAAGGCCCTGGTTGATTTTATTTTATTTTTTTGTGGGCACAGAGGGAGAGGCAAAAGCAGGGATGCAGATCAAGTGTATTTGCCTGTTTGGCTGTCTTTGTCTCTGTATCTTTGTATGTTTGTATGTGTGTGTGTGTGCATGTTTCCGTGTGTGTGTTGAATAAGCATGAAGGGTGAGCAGATTAGTGTATCAGTGTGTGTAAGTGTGCAGGCCTTCTGGGGTGGTGCTGAGCATCAATGTGTTGTTTTAGCGGGCTTAGCTGTGCAGCATGTTGAACAGGCTCGAACATGCTTCCACAGAGAGTGAGCGTGATTACCCCAACCACCCCTCCCCATGTACACATGAAAACACTAACAACAAAAATCACAGTATCAGGTTACTGCGATTAGTTCAGCACACACACAGTTTCTCCCTTTTTCCTTTCTCTCTCACAAGAGATAAAGTCCCCAAGGTCAGAACTGAATGAGTTATTCATCAGGGTGGGTGTGTGTGTGTGTGTGTGTGTGTGTGTGTGTGTGTGTGTGTGTGTGTGTGTGTGTGTGTGTGTGTGTGTGTGTGTCTTGCTGTGTCTATGAGTGTATGTGTTTGACTTTGTGCGTGCCAGCAGGCAAACGCAGAGGGCATATGTTGAAGATGAAAATGGATATTTATCATCACAGAGAGCTGAAAGAGGGCGAGCGTAGGAGGAGAGTCATAGCGGGGAGGAAATATAACTGCCGAGAAGGAGAAAATGAAAGCCGGGGGTGTATGGAAGGGGGGTGGATGAGTGAGAGCGGCAAACAAGACTGGTAGCTGGTCAAGGAGGAACTCTGCATCCACAGATGGGCTCAAAAGAGAAACAAGAAATGAATGTAAGAGATGAGGGTTTTGAAAAAGTGATAAGCTCAGTCAGAGCTGCCTAAAAATATTTCCCGAGAAAAGTTATGTTTTTATTTCTAAAGAGGAGACAGTTGATCAAATATTAATGCCGCGGCCTCTGCTCAGTCTTCTATAATTGATTTCTTTGCTCTCTGCCCGACAGAGCCATATTTGGGTCACACATTTTCCCCGGGAAAGAGTTTGACACCACACACACCATAGCTCCCTCACACCACCAACAATGGCTCATTACCCATCTGCCACTAGGGCTGTTTATACTCTGTTCTTACCCATTGAGCACCTGCTGAGTCACAAACACACACACACACACACACACACGCACTCTTTCCGTCTCACTTGCACATCAGAATTTTTTTAGTTTTTGAAGTAAATAATATGAGCCAATAGAAAGAAAACCCTGTATATATTTAGTGACTAAAAGGTTTGCTTTTTCTTAAAGCCCCTGAAAACTTGTTTTCAAATCCTAAATATTTATAACAGTACATGTCCATGACAAAATAAGCAGCAGTCATAGCTAATATTTAGGGGGAGGGCATCTTTAGGTATCATTTATTAAAACGTAAACACTAAAAATATACCATCAGCATCAGGACTGTGGTGTAGTTGGAAAATAATTAATTGGCAGTGGCTGGCAACGTAAGCAAGCAACCTTTAACCTCTGCAATCCCAAACTCATGCTTCAGCTAAATAGGCTGAATGTGTATACAATTATGCACAAGACATGAAGACTGTTTTGTTATGACGCAAGGGCACAGCCATAAAACATTGTATCACCTTTTAAGTTGATTTGTTTATTTATATGAAAGGGACAGTGCATATTAATGGTACACATTCTGCTAAATGCTCCACTATTTTCACCAGCTTGTTGCTTATTTTTTCTGCCTTTTGTAGCCTTTCATGAGTTTTTTGAGCTTTGTAACTGAAAACTGTTGCCTGTTGTGGACAAAAATTACATCATGAGTGTTGAAAGTAAACCCAAAACATTTGTGGGCCCCAAAAACAAAACAAGGCATCCCTTACACATCGTCACTGATCAAATTGTTGATGTAAAATTACTGATTATCACATTAAAGCTACATAGGGGCAAATGAAAAGGGACCGGAAGGATTATTCTTGAAGTTAAGTCTATTTGTAATGTGGCTGATCAGAGATGAAGTGAGGGACAGAGGAAGAAACTAAATTATACTTTTATGTGACAAGAACTTTATTCGGACCGCTTTGCCTCTGTAGTGACTGATGTGTTTCCTATGTTTCAGAAATGCTGCTGGATGACTTCCTGTTGACCTACCTGGTGTTCATGTCCACCAATGACCTCTGTCAGGCTCTACTGGGACAATATCCTTACTGGCAACCAAACACACAATCACAAACACACACACACACACACACACACACACACACACACACACACACACACATTCTCTGTTGTGTCCTTGACGGCTGTCACCTATAGCACTGCCCGCTGCCGGGGCCAGGAGGAGGGCAAAGACACCCTCTTCAGGAAGCGCAAGGTACTGCAGCTGGTCTCCCACTGGAGCAGGCTCTACAAGGACTTTCTCAAGGATGAGGAGCACGTCAGGAGCTTCATGAAGGTACGGCGCTACTCGCCTTCACCACCACATCTGATTTTTTCCTAACTTTCTTACTCTAAATCAGTGAAATACAAGAGACAAGGAGTTTGATCCTCGGGTGTCCTTTCACGCATTTCACTGAAGAACTGTAGAAGGCGTCTCTTTCATCTTCATTTATCTCTCCGCTTTTTCTTAAATGGGGTTTTTCGACAGGACATCAAAAACTTTTTGGAAAAAGACAGAGCGCTGAAAAGCGTGTGTGTGTGTCTTGCCTCATCTTTTTGTTTGTTGCATCTCCTGTTGAACTGAACTGTGTGTCAGCTTTCTTCCACAGGGAAACTCTGTTGATGTTTTCATCTCTTTCTGACAAAGCACTAAGAGAGAGACAAAAATACAGGAACTTTCATGATGTATCATGAGGAACGAGGAGTATTATTTATTATATAAAATTATAAACATCCATTATATCAAACAACAAATAACCATAAAAGTATCCAAAAGTATTTTGCTGCTTATTGTATTGTACAAGTTCATTATCTCCACAGGACAGTCATGAACATTGAAAACACAAACGTACTCATTCGTAGTATCACATTATTGTATTTCTCACGACAAATGCTGCCTGTATCCGCTGTGTTCCTGCTGTATTTTCACATGGTCGGCTGAATTGGATTTGAATACCCGTGAATGAAACGTGACGCGGAAAGACGCGCACACACAACACGATCACCCGCATGCCCATCCACACACTCATCAATCACTCGTCCCTCCGTAACCTGACGGCTCCAGAGCTCGATGCCAGGTTGCCGTGGAAACCAAAGTGCGAGGGTTTGCATGGGTTTAATCTCATATAGAGTGTGTAACCCAGGTGATAGTTGCCTAGTAACAGAGGAATGAGAGGGGAATTGGGATGAGAGACTATGGTGGGTCAATGACGGCGATAAGCAGGTGTGTGTGTGTGTTGTTTGTGTTACTGCCTCCTGAGCTTTCATGCTAATTCCCTGCCATGCACACACACTACAGTGTGTGCCTAGTCACCTGATGTTATACAAAGTACAGATTTGTCTGATATTTCTGTTTTTAAAATATATGTCGATATTTTCTGCTAAGCGGGCTGGGGAGGAGGGCGGTTTTAGCGGGCATGTTTTTACTACTTTTAGTAACTTAGCTTGTTTCTTATTTCACCGTTTTAATTATACTCCATTCTACATCTTAAGTATCACTCACTTATTGAATTCGCCTCCTTCAGTTCTCTTCCCACTCACAGACCTAACGTCTCCGCTGCAAACACATCAGCGTTCCCCGCTTCTTATGCCGTTTTTCCATTACCAGTACCAGCTCAGCTCAACTCACCTCGGTTTGACCGTGGTCCGTTTTCCATTGCAGATAATACCCAGAGATAGCACCCCTCAATCTAACCGGTCGTCATAGCGAACGCCACACACAACTGCCGCGACGTAACGTTCAATGCAACGCACACACAGCTGTCTCTTGATTTAAGTTAAAACGTTTCAACATTATTCAGAATGTAAAGAAAGATAAGACGGAGGTGATACGAAAAAAGCACCTGATAGCAGGTACAAGTACAACTTTTCCACAATGGAAAACCAAAAGAAGGCGAGTAGAGTTGAGGCGAGTCGAGCTGGTACCGTGCAGTGGAAAAGGTGCTTTACCGTCTCTCTCTGTCTGTCTATGTCCGCTTCAGTGACTTTCTCCATCAGTAGTAGGCTAGGCTATTTAAAGTCACCGAAAGGAAACAGAACTTGTCTTCTGGATTTTTCCTCCGTTGATTCCCTTCACAGCAGCAGCTGAGCTGCATGTTGAGGAGGCGTGTTGAAGACGTAGCCTATCAAAACAAAACCAACATGGTAGCTAACGAATAACATCTGACTGGTCGCTTTACCTGGTCCGCTCTCGTGAAATATCCACAGTGTCGTGACTTGTAACATAATCACTGTTTTTCTCTGATAAATGCAACCGTGTGTCACCTAACCTGGGCGGCCGCCGAAGTAAAAGTGTATGTGTGGGAAACACTGAATGAACCGTGCTTTTGTTTTTACAAGCCAGGTCTTTAACAGTGTCGATTAGTGATGTGCAGATCGATCCTAAAGTATCAATATTTCTGATACCAACGTTTCCTTCTCTAGGATCGATACTCATATAAAAGAATCTATATCTAAACACAGTAATCTGTAGTGAGTGTGTGTTTTTTTTTTTTTATTATAAGTATCTTACTGTCACCAGGATGGTCTAATTATAGGTTACTCGGTTGATAGGAACTACTTTTCCTTCTCCCTGTCAAAGTCATGCTTGCGCTGGCTCTGTGACGGAGCGTCTTTGAAGTGAGCCGCTGCAGCCCTTTACATTTCCCGCAATTGAATACTGTCTATGGCTGACTGTAAAAACAATCATGTCTGGCTGTATTTTAGCTGTGAAGGTAATAATGAGCTGTGTGTGCAAAGACAGTGAAATACTTTGGCAACACTGCAAACTTAGCTAAACATCTGCGATTAAGTCAAAATAATATGATGATGTTATGAAGCAGCAGTTCTGAGCAGGATATTTTCATTCTAATTAAAGAATATGAGTTATAGGATATTAAGTTTGATGTCTTGTCATTATGCAGCTATTATTTTGAATTGGTAAGGCTACAGCCTGCTCCTTATTTCTCTCATAAATACAGAAACGGGAGGGGGGAGGTCACATTAAACTAGAAATAAAATATGTAAAAAGTATTCGTATCTGTATCGGCAATACCAGCCTGGGTATTACTTGGTATTGGATCGGATAGGAATTAAGTGGTATCGCACATCACTAGTGTCGATCAGCACTGTGGCAAAACGGAAACGGTGGTGCCTTTAACACCCTACTGTGTACGCAAGCGCACTGCATTTTCTTGCCTTTCTAACGCCGTTGTGTTTACAAACTTGTGGCAGCTGATTGGATAACACCTCAGACACGCCCTCCAAACGGGAGAAAACATACCTCGAAGCCCGTTGCAGAATGTTGCGCAACGTTGCAAGGAAACATGTTGTTCAATCAGAAAACGTTGCAAACTGGTGCAAAACGTTTTGAGATTGAACTCGCCCCAAGTCTGTCATTTGTCGTTTCCACGATCCTCGCTTGAATCAGAAGTTGTTCTGCTCCGCCATCTAGCAGGCCGTCCCAAAGCTCTTATTTGCGCTCTGAGGAGCAAGGATCGAGGAGCGATCTCTGAGGAGCTATGAGCGAGGATACACCAGTGCATCCTTCGCGGAAGTCTTTTACTGACCGACACGCCCCCTTAATGGGTAGTCGTTATATTGATTGGACGCTGCAGCTGATCGGACTGATCTGATACATTACAACAGACAACATTAAACTAAACTAAAAAGTGTATCGCTGCAAAGTCTTATATTTAAGTTGTTTTATGATTCACTGTCTTGTTAAAATCTGTGTTCATTGTAGGTCTGAACAACAAAAGCCCCGCACACAACTTTAATTATTTATTAGAAAGATCCTGTTTTTAAATTTCTCCCATCAACTTTTATTATGGAGACAATTAAAGTGAGACAGTCTGTCTGCAAGAAACATGTTTTACATAATTTATCGTCCTTTCTATTCACGTGTTTAGTTGAAATAGACAACAGTAAAACATAGTAAACATGTAAGGAGTCGGACAAGTCATTAAAGTGCACCAAAGTATCTAATGAAGCGAGCAAAGCATCTGATGAAAGCAGCCAGTGTGTGAATGAAAGCACTGCTGCGCTAAAAAACAAAAAAGCGTCAGATTGATATGATGGAAGGCAGTGATTGATCGATGACGAGTGATGTAAAATGCGCACACAAGTAGTATTAAAGGATATCAGTAGAGGAAATAAATGGAAAGCCAAAAACTGAGCGTCACCTTTGATAGAAGTTACTTCATTTCAATTTCCCTGAAACATTTAGGCTAATAAATCCCAAGACATCATGATCATATTCTGGGTTATTCAATAATGGATTTACAATCAGAATCAACAAATATAAATGCAGATAATATCAGCATTGTGCCAGTAGAAATTATCCTGTGCCTTTGAGCAGGACATAAGCTATGAGTAACCTATAATTTCATGTGCAGGTGTTTGTTAAACAGGTAACAGAATCATGCTGCTCTGCACTGATAACTGTGAGACTTCATTAGTAACCGACACAAACTCCATCAAAAGTCTCTACAGCTGACTTACAGCTGATCCATCAGTGATCAGCTGCCACCATCATCAGAAACGGACGTCACTTTACGTGACGCTTCGGAGGAAAGGACATCTCATGTCTCTAAAAACATAATTCCTTGTTCCTTCTCTCCTGGCTTGAAAAGACACAAGGGAGGGAAACGTGGATGCAATTAAGAGACTTGAGAAACATTCTTCATCTTCCGCTTCTTCTTCTGCTGCTTCTTGTGCTTCTTTGGGTTTGTATGGCGGTTGGCATCTAAAATGTTGCATTACCGCCACCTACTGAATGAAATAGTTTTCCCAGTGTATTTACAGTGACCACCCTAAAGGACTCCTATTCAATGCATTGTCCGTTCTATGTCTCAGACTCTGAAATAGTGTAAATCCTTCCCTCAGTGTAGTGTCAATTTCTTCTCCTGATATGTCCACAGTGTCCAAGAATCTCCTTGCCGCATCCAACACCATCTTGATCCTTTCTGACTTGCTCACAGTTAACCACCATAAATGCCAGAAATCGCTTCTTGTCGATGCATATATTCTGATCATCTTCCTTCTTTTTCGGGTCCTGTTCCTTTTGCACTGTTGCTCGTTCCTGCTTTCTTTCCAGTCTCTTGGTAGCTTTGGCATATGTTAGACCATCTTCTGCTCAGATTTTACTCACTTTTATTTGTTTTAATTTTTCCGGAAACTGCGCAGACCCCGCACGGTGATTCCCTGCACAGTGAATGCATTTTACTTGTTCCTCTTCACACTCCCCTCTTCCACAGTTGTTCTTCCCACATCTCCTGTCTCCTCTACATAATGCTGCTACATGTCCATACTCCTGACAACAGAAGCGCCTTAATGGAGCTCTTTCATAAGGCCTTACCCTGTAACACATGTATTCTAAATATAACCTCTCTGGCAAATCTCCCACAAAAGTCAAACACACGGAATTACTTTGCTCCCATTCTCCTTGATGGAATCTTGTCAGTCTTCTCGCCTCACTAACACCTTCAATGCCCCGAAACTCCACATCTTCCACTGACAGCGGTATGCCTTATTACTCCTTTCTTTTTGTATTCTGCCCCGAGTGGGAAGCATCTCACACTGCTGTAATCATACATCTTAATCCTCAAAGCTTGCTCTCTCTGACGCCTTGACATACAGTCAATGGTAACCATCCCACTCATTGTTATCTTGATGGACCGAACATCTCCGAGTTTATCTCCAATGAATCTTCCAACCTGGTGCGAATCCTTGAAGATCCCATCCGTTCTTGTCACTGTTATCATACCAACTTGATGGCTCTCATCAGTTCTTCTTGATTGGCTGCCATCACTTGAGACACTATCCTTCTTCCTTTTCCTATTCATAACTCCTCTTGTGTCTTCTTCGTTCTCCACACTCTCCTCTGACTCCATTTTTTCCCCCACTTCCCCTGCCACGTGTCTCCCTCCATCTTGTTGAGAGTAACTCAGCATCAAACTATATCGGTATAAACGGTATTGTCTAATTTCATATCTCTTTTGAAATTATATCGGTATATATTATATAAACTGTATATATTATATACCGATATACCGCCCAGCCCTACTATGCAGCATAATTTGTACTTGATTATACTTTTTTAGCGATTATAATTCTGACATGCTGAGATTTATGTGCTATCCTACAGCTGTGTGTAGACTGTAGAAGTCTGAGAACATTCAAACACCAAAGACTAAGACATTCAAATCTTGTTCCTGCAACTAGTTACCAGCATTTCTGATGGGCCAGATAAAACAACTATTTTCCCATCAGTCAACAACCTGTAATTGTGGGTGTGATGTCATAGATCTTGGTTTTCTTCTCTTTCCCTCTCTCTGTCAGACCCTGTACAGGTGTGTTTTAGAAGATCTGTATGAGTTCCCCACTCTGGAGAAAGACCTGAAGGAGTTTCAGAAACTTCTGCGCCGCAGACAGTAAGTGTGTTTGTCTGCTGCATAGGGACTTTGTTCTATTAAATATGACTGTCTGTGTGTTTGATTTTTTTCTCCCCATGCCTACCTTCACCCCTCCTCACTGTTGTGCTTGTTTCTTTCCTGTAGCACTGTGGATGACTGCCCTCCAAACCAAAAGGTAAGCCATAGAGAAGGGGGGTGAAGGTGGAGGTGGTGAGAGGGAATATTTACTACATCGATGCTGCTTGGCACTGTCAGCTACATTTTATTGCTATTACTTTAAACCTGAGGCGCTAGCTTCCAAATGTTTAAATGGTACAAATAAATAAAAATGTTATGAATACTAAGTCCCCACGACCCTGTATGCAGGATAAGTTGATTGTGTCAGGTGATGTTGAGTATCAATTCCAGTACCTTAAATTAGTCTTTCATGCCAATAGTATACCATGAATTTAGCCAGTTATAGGAAAACTAAAAGAGTTACATTCAGTCATACAGTAAACTGCTTTATATTTTAAAATAAGGCATAGAGGTTAAATTGTGATAATTGAGCTGTGAAGACACCAATGCTATGCTACAGATGTTATCAGTCCGTAACTATATTCAGTGAAGAATAAATACTTTATTATACATCTGTGCTTCTTCTGCTCTCTCTCTGTCAGAGTAAACAAACGTATCAGCAGTTGAGTTTAAAGGAAAACAGTTTGCAACTACGAAGTCTACCGACTGACACTAGAGAGGGTGAGTAACAGACACAAACACACTCACCCACACATACATACAAAACACAAAACGCATTCCCCAGGACAGTTATGCATAATGAAAGGCTATGAGTTTTAATTACAAAGTGCACATGCAAATTTCTTAAATATGTGTTCAGTTTTGTCTGTTGAGCACTTGACAAAAATTAACTTGAGTCTCCTCTGTACGTTTTTCCAGCATCTGCTTCATTTGGATTTTACAGTATTTCACAATTAATAAATTCCATGTGTCTCTCAGTTATTTGCTGCGTGTACGTGAGCACTGATTCCTATTTGAGTATCCACACACACCCCTCACTTGAGGCCCATGAGCTGCTAAGGATTGTGGGTCTGAAAATGGACAGAGCAGAAGAAGACATGGTGCTTGCTGTGGTCTCACACACCGGAGGTATGCACGCAAACACACAAAATAAAACATACAATACATATAAATTACCTTTTGGTATTACAACCATTTCTACAATGCTTAACCATTATCTATCTGTATATTCACAATTTATCCAATACTTTATACTATTTCAACTGTTAATGTATTATTGTAGCAGTCTATTTTATCCATTACTTGGCTAATTAGTTTAGTACAAGTACCCCTGGTTTGGAATTACTGTTCTACACTCTTGGCTCTAAATTATTATCATAATCTTTCTCTTATCCTTCTTTTCTGTATATATTTGTCTCTGCAGAGCGGAGAGTGTTACAGCCCAGTGACTGTGTATATTCAGAGTCTCTGACCCCACAGGGAAAGCTCATGGTCTGTCGCAGGGATCTCACTGAGATCTTGGTACGTAAATGCACTGTCCTGTTTGTGCTTCAGTCAATCTTTCCAATTTTTCAAAAGCGTTAAAAGAGGCTAAAGATGCAGCTTGCAGGTTTGAAACAAACCTCAAGCTCTCAAAGATAGGATTATTTGGGCATTTGCACCCTTTGATATTGTTGTTGGCCTCTGTATTGTCTTCAGGCTAAAGCAGGTGTGAAAATTAATATTTTAATTCCCCAACTGACACATTTTCACAGTAATACGATGAGTCACGCATTATAAGCAAGCTGGAAAAATTTAGGCTGTGTGATTGTTATCAACTCTGACTCGATAGGAGAGAGGTATGAGCCACAATTACTTTGCTATTGCCCAACCGTGACAGAAGGATTTGAAACTGCTGTTTCAGGGCCAAGTGTTAAGTGTAATGGCATGTTTTTTACAGTAGAGTTTCAGTTGTGAATCCTTAAAGAATTTTGCAATATTGGGCATTTTGGTTCCTTTCTAGGGATTTTGGTTTCTTGTTTGATATGTATATTTAGCAGCCTGTCATTAAGAAACCAGTAGATCCTCTGCATTTCTCCAGTTTCAAAATAATTACTGTCCAACTAGTAGGCTGGTAATATTTCATTTTATTTTGCATATTGTCTGCTGGGTTACATTTACATTTACTCATTGAGCTCACGCTTTTATTCATATCGACTTACAATCACTATATGTCAGAGGTCGCACACCTCTGGAGCAACTAAGGGTTAAGTGTTTTGCCCAGGGACACATTGGTAGATGTGTCCATCCATGTGTGAACCCAGGTCTCTCACACCAAAGGCATGTGTTTTATCCACTACCCCATCACAACCCCACAAATGACCCATGACTAGTTAACATAAATTGTCAGGCTCACATGCAGAAATGTAGTTATTATAGTGGCCTGGAACCAGAGTTGGACAGAACAGTTATGTTTTAGGATCACCGCACCCCTTGTAGGCTTTCAATTTTGCTTGTATGTAGGCTGGAGGCACTGCTCTCATGGACTTGTGCCATATTGTTTTTTGTTTCTTTTAAATTTTTTGAATGTTGTGTTAGCTGAAGCCGCCCATGAGGTGAGATTGTTTAGCTTATGTAGAGATAGCCCTATTCCTGTAAATAGACGGTACCTGTGTGTTATTTATATTTCTATGTACTAACTTAACTTTCTGCTGTGTATGTGTGCAGCCTCCTTTAACAGACAGTGCTGAGCTAAGCAGGAGGCCGGTGCGACTCTTAGGTATTAACACCTGGGATGTGGCAGCTGCTCTCACACACTTGGACTGGAGCCTCTTCAAATCCATCCATGAGGTATACACACACACACACACACACACACACACAAACACACAAATATATGCTTGTGGTGTGTCACATACTTAAATAATAATAAATTCATATTCATAATAGAGATTGCTGGAACATAAGCATTTAAAATGCAAATGCTCTATAAGACTTGCTGGATCATGAGTACAGAAAGTCTCCTGCAGCTGAGCGGCTGTCATTTTGAAAAATGGGGGTAGAAAACGGGCTGATTTCCATTCTCAAATGTGAGAATTTGCTGCTTTTCTCTGCTTTATATGATTGATGATATTAATTGATTTTATACGGGTTTTTGACAATTTGGTGGATAAAATGAGCTATACTGAGATGTCACCTTGGGCTCTGAAGATTTGTGACTGAATAAACAAATAATGAAAATGAAAAGGTAATGGATAGATGAATCAACAATGAAAATAATGTTATGGTACCTGAGGTGAAGGGAGTACACATTTTGTGTTGCATTTTTCTGAAAACCTTCGACTCACACCCTTCCCTCTCACCACATGCAGCAAGAGCTGGTGTACTACACACTCAGTCGTGCTGCTGGTACCGGCCACACGGCAGCACTCTCAGTTCTGCTCCAGCGCTGTAACGAGGTCCAGCAGTGGGTCATGTCCGAGGTGCTCATGTGTGTATCGCTCAACAAGAGAGTACAGCTGCTCAAGAAGTTCATCAAGATCGCAGCTCAGTAAGAACACACACAGAAATACAAATAAAAATGCATGTATCAACAGCAGCTAGATTTTTATTCATTATGCTCACTTTCACACTTCTGTGTAATTATAGTTGTAAAGCCCAAAGAAATTTGAACTCTGCATTTGCCATCATCATGGGTCTTAACACAGCAGCTGTCAGCCGACTCAATCAAACCTGGGAGGTAAGCGTGCGTGTTGTTGCGTTGCGTTGCGTTGCGAGTGTATTTACACACACAGCTCTGTATTTTAAATTGAATTCTGACCAAACACCTTCCTTTCAGAAATGTCCAGGGAAGTTCAAGAAGCTTTTCTCAGAGCTCGAGCTCATCACGGTGAGACACTTACTGTACAGAAACGGCGATAGATGCAGAGCTTTATATATGGTCCCCTTTTGGTTTAATTATCAAATGTTGAAGTCCCATCTCCTTTTCCAATCCTTTTGTTTTCTTTGTTTTCTGTCTTTCCCCATCTACCACCCATCTTTCTTCAGGATCCATCTCTGAACCACAAAGCCTATAGGGAATCTTTCAAGAGGATGAAACCTCCCAAGATCCCTTTCATGCCTCTTCTCCTGAAAGGTATCATCTCTATACACACACACACACACACACACACACACACACACACACACACATTATTGTTTTTGGAGAATGAACCCTAATACTTAATACTAATTCCCTGCTCTCAGATATCACCTTTATCCATGAGGGAAATAAGACCTTCCATGACAACCTGGTCAATTTTGAGAAGTTGGTAAGTTGAGTCAGCCTTTCAATGTTTGCGTTTTAAAATGCAACACAGCAAAGGCCACATATTAAATGAGTGATTGTTATACTGTCATCTGGTCACTACATTCATAATACGATAAGATGCATCACCAAGTGATTTTTGGTAAAGGGGTTATATACACTTTATAATTTGCCTCTCATTCACACACACACTCACAGCGAGCTCCTGTGCAAGGTGCTGGCCTGACGAGCGGGAGCAATTTGTGGTTCGGTGTCTTGCCCAAGGACACTTGGACATGTGGACAGGAGGAGCTGGTGATCCCACTGCCAACCAGCTCTACCCACTGAGCCACAGCTGCTCCCATCATATGTTCGTTTCACAGTAATTAAACAGAGCAGCATGTTGCCAAAATGGAAAAAAAGAAGAACTTTCAGAGTTTTTACAAGTTGGGAAAAGAAGAAACAAACCGCGTAATCAGTCAGAAGCACCGAAACAGCATTAATGGCTAGTTAATTAGTTGTGGTCATAAAAAAAGTGCAACTTTTATTAGTGGAAACAGGTAAATTTGTCAGGTCTGAGAATAGGAGGAAGTGACCAATGACGGAAGGGAACGTGCTATTTTTCCAGATCAATGAGTTAACTGATAGATTGAAACCTTTATTTATACAATATATTGAAAATTCACTTAGACGAACCTCTATTGTGCAAAAGTGCCATGCTTTCTGTTTAACAGGTGACTCTAACTTCACTCACCTCACCATCACTAAAAGTAAAACTGTTGCACACTTACATTTGTATTGCCATAAAGAAAAATAAGGTCAAAATTCATTAGGTGACAGCTCAGGAAGAGGCTTTGCATCATTTTGAATAAAACTGTCTAGATGTTATTTATGTTGATATTTAGTGCTATGGGGCAAGTACAAATCTGCTGTGAAGTGTTGATTGTCTGGTATTGCGCTGATGCAACGTGTCTTCTTCTAAACCAACAGCATATGATCGCAGACACAGTGAGAATGATTCGCCACTGCCAAAGCGATCAGCCAGGTGAGTCTTCTCACTCTTCTGAGTGAAGTCATCAGTCAAGACATCACAAATTATAAGATAGTTTAAGTTACAGGGGTTGTTCAGACTTAATGTTTCCCCTCTTGTGACAAACTGTTAGTGTTGGATGAAATATTGGTGTTGCATTGGTGAATGCATTTATTGTGAGGAATCTACCGCCATCTGCACCTGAGTTGGTGTATTGCATCTGTACCTGAGTGTTGTTTCTCCCACTCAGTTTTCTCTTACAGTTTCTAAGCAACCATTTCCAGACAGGCTTTTATTCTCTTTATATGGCCGTAATACAGTCTGTGTGTGTGTACCGAATGTGTGTTCATGTCAGAAAGCTCTCCTGCATGACTAATGTGCGTGTTTTGTGTCTGTCTCTTAGGCAACGAGGTAATCGGGGTTGACAGTGCAGAGGTGAGGGCGAGCGTTCACTACCTGCACATTATCGACAATCAGCAGACTCTTTTCGAATTGTCACACAAACTGGAGCCACGCGCTTAAACACACACACAACACACACACACCCATGCCCTCATAGACACATACACACAAAAACACAGCGCAGTGGAAATGCTTGCACCCAGAGTGCGTGAGACATGGAGGACGCTTTGTTCAGCAAAATGTCACACACTCACACATACACAGTAACAAAATCACATGACCAGCAGTGGTGCCAAGTGGACAATAGGGTGCCATGTGTTCTGACACAGAGCTGCACACTACCTGTTCTCCAAAGGCTTTATGACACTGAACATGTGCTTATAAAAGAAATAAAGTTCATACACGCTCTGTGAACTGTCTGCAGGAAGAGATTCTGCACAGCAAGATGGAGGTTTGCCAAACTGAGACCTAGAGTAGAGGACGCTGTAATTAGTTTGTACAGTATCTGTTGGACTGAATATGTTTTTGTTCTCGTGTTGAGCTTTTGGTTATTTATCAGCCTGTTCAGCAGGTGGAATGTTCCTTTTTACCAAGGACTTGATAGCCTCTTCATCATTTCAGTTTTCAAACACAAAACCGACTGTAGAGGAGTTAGCTTTGTTTAGAACCTGATGGCCACATTCCAGGATACATGCCATAGATATTTAGGTGTATGATACAGATTTTCTTTGGTTATGGTGTGGTGGCATATTATGTAACAGAAGCAGGAGCCATTGTTGAAGCAGTACAACACTTTAACATACCTACACTTTGTTTGCTTTTTTGCCTTTTCCCACTGATGACCTAACAGCCTCAGTGGGTTGGTGCAACATTAACAGTGTATTGTATCTGTCACGTGAAGGAAGCATTGTCGGAGCATTTACTGAATGTGATGTTTGAAACACTAAAGATCTCCTGAACGTGCAAAGTTCAAAAACTGTTAGTGAGTAGTAAGTGTTTTTTGGTTCTACCTGTTTTTGTTTTTTTTGTTTGTTTTTTCCATTTTACTCCTGGTTGACTTTTAGCCAAACACTCTCTCTGTCTCTCTGTGATGTTTTTGTGTGAATAGATAATGATAATTTTACATTGATACTTTAAATAACATGGACCTATACATTTTACTTTGCCAAATGTCACATTGAGTCCTGCAGCATAGACGTACTGTAGAGCTCTTGGTTTGTTTAGGAATGAATGTCTTTTTTTAATCACAGAATTTGATTTCCTTGAATGAGACCTGGAATGATGTCTGCTCTTTGATCATGTAAAACACATCTGACTCCTCGCAGAGATGCTTGCTGACACTATAATGACTGATTTCAAGGGTGCGTGATAAAAGCCTACTCACCCTGGGTTGCTATGGAAACACAGCCCCATAATAGAGCTTTTTTTTTTTTGCTTTATTTTTTTAATCCTCGAGTTATATTATGTTAACAGAAATGTCAAAGCGATACTCCACAGACCTTTAAGAAATGGCTTTATTCAACAAAATCATGTTCATGGGGAGATTTTGACTGGTGATTCATTCTTACTGACTGAAAAGATCACTTCATTCAGAAGTGGTCTTGTGTAAACGGCAAAGACTTCCTCTGTTATGGTCAGAATCCAGCAGGATTTTTGGTAGTACAGTTATCACTCTAACGTTGGTTCTCATTATTTTGGCCCTCCAATTAGATATTGGCTGAAATAAATGTGTTCATTTCAAACGAAACAAATCATCCAATTCTGACAATATCTTCCTGATAAGGCCGTGACAAGTGGGAAATATCTATTTGTTATTCAGATCAGTGATGGAGCTGCCTGTCTTGTTGATAAGATTCACTCAGTAGTTAGTCTGTAGTCACCAGGAAGGAAATGCAGCTTGGGATGTGGGGAGTGACAATGATAAGACCATGAGCAGTCTTCACATCTCAACCTTATTAATGTTTGTGTTATTTTGTCTGTGCCCTGTATCTGCATCATGCATAGCCAGTCACTTCAGTGGTTCATTTCTGCTGAGTAGGAGGAAACATCTAAAGAGTGTGATTCCTAAATGTTATGTAGCGGTGCACGTCTTGCATAGTTTGCATAGTTAGAAAACATGGGGGATAAAGTGCAATACTATAATAATATAAATGTTGTTGCCACACGTGTTTCATCTTTCAGAGCACAGACCTGCTTTCTCTTGTAGATCTTAAAGAATCAAATAGACAAGCGAGGACTTAGATTTCCAAAACTGTTCTTGTGCCAAACGCATCTTTGGTTCATTGCAAGAAAACCATCAGAGAAGATATGAAGGTGAAGATTCACTTTTAACCACAATTCTTTTGTGACGAGCAGCATAGTCATTGTCTTAAATATTCTTGTAGATGCTTTTAAACTGAATGTGGAGTCAGTTTTTTGCAAATTGATTAATTCAAATTGGAAGCTTACTTGAGCCATTTAAGTATTTATTATTCAGATATAAAATCTAAAGAAATGATAAAGAAGTCTATTTATTATTCTGGAAGTGTTCCATGAGATAACACACGTGAGTCTTGAGATTGTTCCTTTACAGGGAGTTATTTATATCCACAAATATTACATTTACATATACACCTTTACAATGATAAGAATAGTCATAAACAAAACTAAGTCAGTGATTCTTCATCTGCTGGAGCTGATAGTCACACCATGATCTGTTCATATTCAGTGTCAAAGAAAGGCCTTGTGGTAGTTATTTTTACTATTAACCTGTACATGACGCACACATGCACAAACACACCTCTGTGCATCGTGTTCAAAGAGCAGAATAATTGTGCTATACTAGTTATTTATTGTAATATATTGTTTATTTATTTATTTTGAGGTGACAAACGTTCATGTGCCATGTTCAGAGAGGTTCAACCATGTGGAATTGCATTTTTAGAAGATGATGCTGGAATGTCAAAGTACTTGTTGTTTTGTTTTGGGGCCACTTGAGGGCAGCAGAAGAGCAAGTCAGTGTGACGATGCCTGTCTGTTTCCTCTGGGGTCAGATGCTGTAATCGGAAAGAAACCAACAGCAAGGTGTATTTAGTGTTTTATCAGCCGTTGTCATGACTGTGTAAAGTTACGTTTTTTTTTAAAGCAGTGTTGTTTAAAACCTGTTTGCATGTTAAAACAAACAAAAGAAACAGTTCACAATGCAAGAGAGGACACATTGAAGGCTTTGTACTGTTGTAATATTGTTGATGTGTAAATATATGCCTATGTTTGGTATGTTGTTATTTATCAGCTGTAAATGGGAAAAAAAAGTAGTCAACCACAAAGCAATACGTCTCCCCTTGTGTTCCCTCAACCTTCTGACAGCTGAAGCCACATGTATTTTTTAAAGCTGCGTTTTACTATGTCAGATTTGACTGAAATTAATAAATTATAGGTTTTATGTGACATGTCTGGGCGAGCTTGTGGTTTTTCTTGGCTTATGTTCAGATACCGTGTAATTGTTAGTGTCACAGAGAATACAGGGCTGAGGGTAACCTTAACAGGTACCTTTTGTTAAAACATGTTCAGCTTTTCATAAAGTTGAGGCGCTCTTTAACGTCACTTTTTTGCAAACTGACCTATCAAAACCTGGATGAGACGAGACATATAAGAAAGGGTTGACATGCTGCAGTAGACTTTCGTAATGCTGAACTCATTGTAATGCATGAATGCTTATGATTATTAACAACTTATTACTTAGCATTACCAAATTAGAGACTAACTACCAGTGTAGGGCATTTCTATAGCACAAGGGTTTTCTTAGGGGGACGGTGGCACGCCATCATGTGAATAAGGGCAGTACTGGAACTAATTTTTTGCTGCTACACCGCTACAAAAATACTCATCAGCAAACTGAAGCAGATCCCCAGTCACTGTTTATTGTTATACATTTTGTTAATTAGGACTCTATCTATTTAACATTGCTTAGTGATTATTATTCAGCACTTAAATGTTGTATCAGGTCACCATGGACTCTGAGAAATTGTGACGGGCATTGGACATAAAATAAAATGATTAATTGAGATAATCATTGGCAGACCAATCTGAAAGAATATTTAATTGCAGCCCTAATAAACTAGGTCAGAAATTATCATATTTAAAATCGTAAGAGGTTACAAAGACTAAAGGTCCCCACAGCCAAAAAGCCTGCTTCCCTATCGATTCTTTTTTTGCACAAAGCAAGAATGTAGAGGACAGGCTGTCACACAGAAGGTCTGAGATATTTCACAATTTCATTGTTAGAATCAGCCCTTTTCAGTTGCCTCATCTTAACTTCTTGTTCCTGTTTCAATGAAGGTCCTGTCCCTTGGTCTCCCATTTCTAAGTAACGTACATTTGCTAAGACACCGTGCAGATGAAGAAAATCATACGTCCTCATCCCTAAACAATAAAACAAGTAGGTTATTAACTGTCCCAAAACGACATACGTATGACCGTTGAAAAGGTGTACCTGACCTTATGTACGTTACATATGTCCCATGACTCTTGGACAGAAATTTGCTGAAAAACCAACCCTTTCTGACTCCCTGACTCGTCACATATGGATGCATGGTCAAGACCCATCAGCATCAGTTTGTAACGCACTGGGGATCCCTATAGTGTTGTAGTTCAACGCATTGGGAAGCCCTGTACCGCTAAAGGTAGGTATATGATATTAAACAGAAAAGTGAGTGAGGAGGTGATTGGAGTGGAAGGAGGGCCAGAACCCCAACTTTGAACCAGGAGACCGTGGTTCGTTTCCTGTGTGAAACAAAAAGTCTACATTAAATATTTTTGTTTAAGTTAAGCAAGTTACGTAAATTGTGTAAGATACGTAAGTGACGTAAGTTAACTTACGTGTTTACTGACATACGTAGTTATTTTAACTCAAACCATGATCCTTTCCTAGCCGTAACCAGGTAGTTTTGTTGGCTAAACCTAACCAAGTACTTTTTGTGCCTAAATCTAACCAAATTGCAATTTATTTTAAAAGTCTAACCGGACATTGCATATTTGTTGTTGGTAAGTGACCACGGAGCCCTAAAAGTCTAAAAATGGCGCTAAAATGGGTACCCAAGGCGTTAAAAAGCTACGCCAAAGGGCCTTGACAAAGCGTCAGTATGCGACGAGTCGGGAGTGAGAACGTGTTGAGATGCAAAACGGAGATAAAATGACCCTCACATCAAAGGTAAGCAACACAGCAGTGTGTGTAAATGTTGCTCTGTTTTCAACATTGGTCTTTTGTTAAGAAAAACTAACAACATTATTAACAGCTAATGTTGCTTTAATATTAGCTGGCCTGAATCTATTCCATAAAGTTACATTCATATCTTTCTCCTCCGAATACCATGATTTTTCTTTGTAGCTAGTTCAGTTCTGTAGCCCAGACATACTTTTCATAATGCTATATATTGAACACTATTTGCAAAACGTATTTTACGTCTTGTTATCCAGCTAGCTTACATGTGATCTTCTTCACATCGGTGCTCAGGTGAGTGTCTTCATTATGGCTAAGTTGAATGGCTGTGCTAGAAAGATGCATCTTCAGTGTTTCGTCCAGTTGGGTCCAATCTGTGTCGTCGTCCTCTTGGAAGGTAAGAGGTCAACACCCCTAATGCAGCAGGGGATGGTTCGGCCCATTTTTGACACATTAAGACTCTTGGCATAAACAGTCATACAGCACAGAATAGTGAGTAATGTTTTTATTCATGTGTATTCCAATGTTGAGAGCAGTGTGTGCGAAGACATTTTTCTGCAATGTTCTGTGTTCATGGATGTTGCTGGAATCGGTAAGACGGAGACCCCTGGTCTTCTTGTACGCTACGTGTACTCTTAAAAAAACTGAGCAGGAAATTAAGAGTTTAATGCTTAAAATCTTAAAACCTCATCAAATACTTAATAGTGTCTTTTGCTCTTGTACTCGTGACCAAAGTCTTTCATCACACCCCTATTCTCAAACCTTATATCACCACCTCTTTTCAACCCAAAGTGATGCCCTTGCTGTTACATACGGTAGGCCTACTGCTTATATTATTTCACCATCTGTACACAAATGTAGCATAAGTAGTGAATGTGTGTTTGTGGAGATGTGTGGTAAGTTGGGCTTGCATGGCTACAGGCTACTGTTTTCATACCCCACCCCTGCAGTCGCCTGCAGCTCACAGACTTTCAAGTCAGCAAAAGTCAGCCACAGTCCTCTCGAACGCACCTCTTGACCACAAGCTATGTATACGTGCTAACTTCGACAGCTGTATTCTAACGTTAACATAGCTATCCTAATTAGCTAGGCTCCTTACATGTTTGCTAATAACTTTTATGAAGGTGGGTCTCCTCTGGATCCTCCGTCCCTGAGAATTAGGGTCCAAAGGCGGATTATCAATCATGATGCTGATGATCAGAGGTTCTCTGCTTTGTTTGACCCGTGTTCACTGATGTGATGCAGATGTTTTTATCCAGTCTTTTAATAATCAGTGCTTAGCTATTTTAGATAAAATGGCACCAGATTTTTCAATGTCTTGAAAAAAAAAAACTATAGGGTTACCTTAAATAAGATGCTGAGAATTGTGAGAACTCACTTCTTTTCTCAGCTTATATCCTAAAATAAGCACAATCCTGTGTCTCCTAAATCGGACTGTAATGAATTCCTTCACTTCTTTGTAAATAAGAACAGAGATGTCAGGGCAAACATCTCACCATCAATTTCTCAGAACTCTGCATGTGACCTGCTCATTCTTGGTCCTCTTTTAAACCTGTCACATTACATGACATCACCTCTCTACTACATACATTGAAACCCTAATCTTGTCCTATGGATGTTCTCCCTACGTGCTATTTGTTTGATTCTATTGACCCCTGTATTGTAGAGTTGCTTAATACTTCACTTTTAACTGGTGTTGTTCCTTGTTTTTTTAAACATGCTGTTGTTAAGCCTGTCCTTAAAAAATGTTTTATGTAAAATGCATCCCACAGAAACTGCATTACTTAAAGAAGGTGTCTAACAGGACAGCGAGGCATCGAGGGCTGTTTGAAACCGCCGCTCAAACGATCTCTTCCTGTCTCCTGCGATGCCTTCAAGCTGCCCCAGTTACGGCCAGTTTTGAAGGCAGCATTGACCCTCACTATTACCCATAAAGCAGCGCGGCTGCGGCCACTGTAGCTTTCGAAAACTGTTCAAGATGGCGGACAATTTGTACACAAATATACGTTTTTAAAGGTTTTTAGTAGTTTTCTCGCTTCGATTTTTGAAAAGCTAGCGAGAACTAAACACTGAAGTATCATATCAGCCTGTGAATGTAACCAACCAAGTTTGTTTAGTATGATTTCTGAGGCGTCTGTTAGCCGTTTGGCTTTTCAATAGCTAGGTAGCTGCCTTCACTTGAAAGTGATGCCTTCTGAGGCAGCTGTCTATTACGGTAGAGAGGCAATGAGGCAACTGCCTTCCGTTTCGAACACAGCCAAAGTTCTGATGTCAGCTAACTCTAAGGAATACATAGTTTTGGTTCTCTTGGACCTTTCATTTGCTTTGATACTGATCATAATATTATAATAAATAGACTTCATGATCTGGTTGGGATGTCTGGATCAGTGTTAAAATGGTTTTCATCCTACCATTCTGGTAGAAGTTGTAGTGTTTATGTAAATCAGATCATGTCTGAAACTGCAGGGTTGTCTGTGGGGTACCTCAGGGTTCTGTCTTGGGACCCATCCTGTTCCTTTCGTATATATTTCCTCTTGGACAGATAATTAGTCAGATCAGTGACATATCTTACCATCTGTATGCGGATGACATTGTACTGCTTGTTTAAGGAAACTGAGTTCCATAAATTGTCTTCTTTAATTAACTGCTTGACCAGTATCAAACAGTGGTTTTGTGACAACGTCCTGCTTCTGAACTCAGAGAAAACAGAAAAACAAATTATTGCCCCTGAAAGTACAATACCTCAGATTAAAGAGCATATTGCTGACTTAGGAGTTTAGGTGTTGTTTTTGATTCTGCGAGGTCCTTGGAATACCACTCTAAACAATTAGTCAGAAATTGTTCATTCCAACTAAGAAATGTTTCCAAATTAAGAACACTGGTGTCAATGGGTGAGTTGGAGATGATCATTCATGCTTTTATTTCCTCTCGCATAGATTACTGACTTTTTACTTGTTTGAGCAAGAAGGAGCTTTACCGTCTCCAGGCTGGTCAGAACTCTGCTGCGAGGCTTTTAACTCACATTAACAATAGGGCGCACATCACACCTGCTTTAGCATCACTTCACTGGTTACCAGTCCAGTATAGAATTCAATTAAAAATCCTGGTTCTTACTTTTAGAGCCCTGCACGGTCAAGTTCCTTCGGACCCGTGGTCTGAGGTCATCAGGTAAGAGGCTGTTAGTGGTTCCCCACACTCATTTTAAAACCAGGGGGGGAAAATCGATCAT